TAATGAAAATATTTTAAAATAGTATTTATATATTTTGGAATAATAGCATGTATTCTTACATTTTAAAAGTATATGCTCTGATACTAATTTATGTTTATTCAGAATTTCATGGTTTATTTTATATAGTAAAATTTAGCAGTCTAAATTAGTATATAATAAATATAATATTTTATATAGTAGTCCAAATAATTAACTGAAACGTGCATAAATTAGGTCACAAATTAAGTGAATAATAAACAAAGTAATGATTCAAATTATTATTTTTGGTAGGAATAATATGAATCAACTTACATGATTTTTTTCCTATATAGTTTGGTTCGATAATCCTCTATTACTCTTTCATCCATTTATTTGCTTTCTGGTCAGCTTTTCTTGCCGATACAAGGGTTGCATTCCTATTCAAGTGCCGAACCCTTATAAATGTTCGTAAACGGCAAAATAAACGAATTGCACTCTTATTCACGGAGGGAAAACGTTTCTCAAGTTCAGAAATGAGATTCTGAATTACACCTCTACCTTTTCGAAAAGAACTGCCATGAAAAGAACGGAAAACATTTTCCATTTTCATCATCGTTTCCATCCAAACTGGTGATGGTACAGTTAATCCTCCTTTAGATAATAAAAATATCCAATTTGAGTCGTTAGGAATATCTACGAATTTTTTTTTTATTTCACCCAAAGTAGGATCTTTATCTTTCACACGATATGCAATATAACCTGCCACATAAGCGAGCGATTCTTGTTCATATGCAGATATATCTTTCGTTGAATCATAAATTTCGGTTTCCCAAGGAAGTGACGTACATTCATCATAGATGTCTTCGTAATTAATTAAATCATCTTCGTATAAGGAAGACTCAACATTTGTGCTTTTTCATTTGAAGAAAAAGCTGTTTCCAACAGCTCTTTTGTCAAATATGCTTCAACTTTCTTCACATCTTCACAGTCATTAGCATTTGTCTTTAACGACAATTTAGGCAATTTTGTTGCCAATAGCAACCTTTTCAGACGAATTATTACGTCTGATGGAGACGGATGGTCATTAAAACGCCCTAGACCCCGAATCTGGCTGAACAAGCTTTCTAATACATCTTGAGTCAGTCTTGATGTTAAAATATATTTCACATTTATAGATTTTACGTCGTCAAATAAACCGAAAAGCGAATTTATCGATATGATAATACCTTTCTGAAAAGGTAGCATTGTCTTCTTTCCGCATACTCTGAGATCAAAAATCATTTGCTTAATCTCATTTAATTTTTCTTTTTGTACTTCATAATAGCTTTCTAGGCCGAAAGCAGCTTTTAAAGGCTTATTGCTAGGGGGTAATGGTACACTACTATTCATAATGTCAAAAAAATCATCAACCATTGAAAAAAAATTACTTGTTGCAGCATTACCAGTCAAATGCATAATTGCTTTAGCCGTTGTGGAGGAAAATAATGCTTTTGCTGGTGCTACTTTCTGTCTCTCGTTCCCTTTTACAGATAAAAATTGAGGTTTCAGTTTATAGCACAGTTTAATTTCTCCGATATCTTTATTGAGTACTTCATATATAACGTCTTTGTTTATAATTGTACCATTTCCGAGCATAAAACCTTTATCAAGAAAATGGTTTCTCAAAAGCTTTATGCAATGCGGCATATCAGCGAAAACCCATATTTTGGTGCTGAACTTGGGACTGTAAAAGAAAGATTTATCTGTTGAAATTTGTAATTCTTTCCAAAGGGTCTGACTACCTCCCATGTCAGATACAATTGCTTTGACTCGAAGCCCAGACGATTCAAGTGCAAACAAAATGGAAGACAGAAGATTTTCCTTCATTTGACGATCAAAATCAAAATAAATGGGCTGTTTCCATTGCGAAATGAGTCCTCGAACCAATACAAATTGAGTCTTTTTAAAAGGACCTAATATCTGATCCAATTTTGAATCATAACAGAGTCTTGAATCTATATGAATTTCATCGAAACTTAATACGCATAATCTTTCTTCGTCAGTTGCATTTTGGCAAGTTTTTTTTTTATCAATAACAGTACATCATTTAAAATGCCAGGAATGCAACTGAATCTTGAGCACCATCTTTTCAGTGTACTTGCACTTGGAAGCGGAATACCCATTTTTTCTTTCCAGAAGTCGTATGACTTTACGGATAACGATCTGATTACTATGCTTTTTGAAATGTCGTCTGGAGACCATTTAATTCGCTTTTTTTTTTTTTTTTTTTTTTTCATTAATGCATTTATTTGAGTTTCGGTAAATATGTTTTGAATATACGTTTTCATTTTTCTTAGTTTTTTCATTTTCTTGATTCACTTTTTTAATGTCTTTCCTCAGTTTCTGAACTTCTTCTAATATTAGTTTTCTATTCCTTTTAAATCTTTTTCTTTGCTGGGAGATAGTTTTTAAATGCTGCTTTCTCTCAGTCTGTAAAACAGAAACCTTATTCTCAAGAGCTGATAATTTTGTGATTAAATCATTCACATTTTTCTGGAGGTTGGAACAGTTACAACATTGCTGAGTAATATTATTTTCAGTGAGCTTCTCATAGCTATTATTGTTATCGTTTTGAAGTTCCAGACATGCCTTTTTAGGACTTAAATTCTGAATTCTTTCAAATGCACTTTGTAAATTTTTTCTTTTTTGTTGCCTTTGCTGCCTTGGTGTATTCTGATAAATAACCAAGTCAGGAATACAAGCAGTTGGAATAGCAGCTGACTTCAGTATCTTTTTGTCGGTAATCCTAGCAACCTTTTCATATCATCCTCATAATCAGATTCAGTGAAGTGATTGCTGCATATTCGAGCACTCTTTGTGTTAATAATATCCGCTCTTCGACACCTATGCAACCATTCTTTCGTTAATTGAATATTTTTGTACGGAAATCTATGAAATACCACGCTAGTTTCTTTCGTATTATGATACGTATTGCTACAGGTAGCAACGGCACACGATACCATTTTTTCAATGATTTCTCATTACAAGAACTTTCGAAATACAAAATCCCTTTAAAAGTATCATCAGTTATAACTTTCAAGTAAAAAAAAAAAAAAAAAAAAAAAAAAAAAAAAAAAAAAAAAACTCTTCTCTGAAACTAACAGGGCTAAAGAAAGAGAATCCAAGAACTAAAGATTCAATCTTTCGCACTGATGCTCTGGTCAGTCGACGACGGGACGAACCCAGTGACGTCACATAACATCCGGTATCCTCCCCAAGAGGGGTTCGTGTCGGCATCGTTCTTCTCAAAGGGATGACCCAGCCCTTCTCTTTCTTTAGCCCTGGCTTTAGAGGGCATTCTTTACTTCTATGGTGCTTTCCACACTTGCAGCATTGCTCAGGATTTGAGCAAAGATGTTGCGAATGTCCATATTCTTGACATCTATAGCATTGAATTACGCGTTTTTTCGGGGCAAACTTCTCGATCTTGACATTAACACTTAACATATTGTTGAGTCCATGAATTGAACGTCCTTCCTTCGTTTTCTTCAGCTCCAACAGGAAAATCGGAAGTTTCTCGATAGCGTCTCCTCTTCGTCTGGAAAACTGCTTGACTTTACTTATCGGGAATTTCCTTCTCTCCAGATCTGCCTGGATTATTTCTTCCTTCATCGTCGATGGGAGGCCCTTAAGAACAACCTTAATAGGTTTTTCGCTGAGTAACTGGAAAGTATGAAATGGTATATTTCTTTTCTGCAAAACCAGAGTTGCTTTTCTGTAATCGTCTACTGACTTTAAATTAACATATAGTAGTTTCATATCGGCTTCGAATTCTTCACTGCAGGTATTGATAAGGATTTCATGAATTTTAGGCCAATCCACTTCGCTTTGCTGGAAAACTATTGGGGGTGGAGTTTCCTCTTTTTCGGCTCCTCCTTCTTCTTCCATACCTACCTTCTACTTCACTTAGCTGCTCAAATCGATTTTTTCCGTCGTAACTTCCATTGGAGCTTCGTTTTCTGATACTTTCGCGGTTTTCTTAGGAGAAATCCATTCTTGTTCCCTGCTGTCTGTTCCTCTTTCAGTTATCTGCCCTGGATAAAATTTTTTCGTGAATGTCTCTACATCCATCTCACCCTTAGTTCTTTTATGAAAGTAATTGCAAATTACGTCAAATCCAAATTTCGCAATCTGGTCCCGGATTTCTTCTTCAGAACATGACTTGAATTTTGGGATGTCCTCATCATTTCCCATTGATAAATCTTCTGGTGTCTGTTCATCAGTAGCTTCTCCATTCGGTGTTTGAATGTCTCTTTGTTTCCTTACCAGGTTTAACATCTTTCTTCTTACTTGGTTCTTTCGCCTTCCGTATCTGACATAGTTTTCGCCTTTTTGCTTGCTTTACTTTTCTTTTCTTTGGCCATAAGGATGAAATCCTCTTTCTTCAATGGATAGGTCTTGTTGGTTTTGGTCGAACGCTCGCTTCGGTAGTCCTCTTCATCAGAACTATCGAGTAGTGTCCTATAAAAGGACATTTTTGTTTTTCGGTTTCGCAAATCAATGACTTATTTATAGACACAAAAATTTTAACAATTCTTACATCGTAAGAACAATATTTTTTGTGTCATATTATAACTCAGAATTCATATTATAACTCAGAATGAAAACGTCACTCATTTCCACTTCATTCTCCTTTATATAGTTTGGCAGAAAAGCGGTGCCATTTTGAGATCTCTAAAAGACTTTACAAATTGTTTCCGCTGCATATTTCTTTACTTTAAACATTCAAAAAATTATTTTTATTATTATAATATTATTGTTTTTAATCATAATGAGCATCTTGCAGGACACTTGATCTGGCTTGGAGGGCCATCTTTTAGTACAGATATACAGTTCTTTGAAAACTCTTAAATTCATTTGGAGCTATAATTAAAATATGAAGTAAAATTTTGTAAATTTCTTTTCAATAATGATTTGGTGGCAACTTAAGTGACGGAAAAGTACTATGTTTTAAATGTTTTTGCTTTTAAAAAGCAATTCGAAGAATGCAGAATTTTCAGAATTCTAGGTTTATAATTATCTAAAGTCGCATCTTAAATTTCAAATCTTCAACTTTATATTGAAAAATATTTTTGCTATTAGAGATAACTTAACAAATATAATTCTTAAATAATTGTAATTAACCTTTATTTTAAATCCGCATTTTTCTTCTGAAACTACTCAAGCAATGGTTTTTCATAACGTAAGTATTTTTTCTCACTTGCATTAATATTTTTTCTGAACATATATGTCTTTAAATCACACTGAATGTGTGTCATAAAATGGGAACTTAAGTTAAATATTTGCTTACAACCAAGATCACGTTTATCTCTCAAGAAAATTTCTCGTTTTATTAGTTTAATCACTTTAGTTTTTATTTTAAGAATTCTGAATACATGTTATTATTATTATTATCATCTTTAAAATTTTATCTTTTTTCGTATAGGACTAGAAATACTAGAATGAAGGAAAACGACTAAATTTTGTCAGATTATTTTTTGAAATGAAATCTAGCATCGCCAAAGACTTAAATAAGCCATTTTTTTATTTTGCATCAGAATTTTAAAATATTTTATTGATGATGAAAAATTTTTTATCATTTATGTATGCATTTTTTCCCTTTCCCATATTTATATTTAAAAATAAAAACAAAGCTAAAAATTATGTGTTACAAACCCTAACTTCTGAATTTTTCCTCAGAGATGTATTATGAGGTTTCCGATACTGTCGTTTGTGGAGATTTATAAGTGCGGTATTACCATGGAGGTAGGAAAAGGAGGAGGGGCCATTCCGCGCTAGAAGTGAAACACTGCTTTGAAGCTTGGGTCACCAGACGGGGATGTTCTTTGTTTACATTCAGAAGCTCGCTTGACAAGATTCTGATAGTATTTCGACACACGACAGTTCCATAGAAATCGAAAAAGGGACACTCTCGCATGAAAGAAACATTCATAGTGTGATGGATAATAGCAATTTGTATAGTTTACTGACATTTACGCAAAAATCACATCTTGGTTATTTTTCGATAACTAACAACAGCGATTTTGATTATGAATTTGTTTTATAAAAATTCTAAGCTGTTGCACTACAAAAATATAGATTTTAAGAAAATTGCTAAAAGAGATCTGCCAAAATTTTATTTTCTAGAAGATTTGAAAAGTTTGAAACTTGATGGCTAAATGTAAATATAAAATTATGTATGTTAAAATATTTGTAATTAGGCACATAGGTCAGATTAAGTTTTTATTAAATAGAGTAAACGCATGCAAGGGCTACCTGCCTAAAGAGAGAGATGCCATCGTGGAGGAATTTTGAAGAAAAACTGACCTTTGAGTGGGTATTAAAATAATACTTATAATTTCATCATTTTCATTCAAATTTTATTCATATATATTTTTTATGTAAAACTTGCGGGTGTATGCTAAATTAGTGTAAATTACTTTACACGAAAAATATAGTGAATGCACAGAAATTAAAGATTTGCACATGCCGGAAATGATAAATAGGAAATATGTATGGGTATTTATGCATGTGCTTGCAAAAAGCATGTATCTGCCTTTGACAAAATACTTAAATATTCATTAAATTATTTATAAATGTATTTGAAATGAAGAATTTATTCACTTATAAAAACCTGTGAAAATACTGTGAAGAAATCTAATGATTAAATGTATCTAATTTATAATGATTATAAATATTATCTAAATATATAATAACCTTAATATTGAATTGTAAACATAAATTGAAATCCTGCTGACAAATACGTTATAAAACTATTTAAGCAAGAATTGTTCGTATTGGAAAGCAATCTGTTAAAAGGTATTGTAAAGCAAATGCTATGAGATGCGCACTTAAGAACGTAATAAAGAGTTTTGGAATACGTATTGTTGAAATGAAGGGTAAAAAAAAAATCTGATAAGTATAATTAAAAGAAATTCTTCCCTTTACATTTTATAATAACTCAGTTACAAGTTTTTTAAATAATACTTAAAAAAAAAAAAAAAAATTATTTTATTCCCTTTCAGAAATGTTCAGAGAAAGTCAAATACTATTTAATACCTATTTAATTATTAGGAATTAGCGAAATACTTATTTAAAGTATTTCGCTAATTCCTAATAATTCTCTAATTTAAAATGAACCGAATAGAGCATTAATTATAAATTGACTTACATTTTTCGATTTAAAAGAAGCCAAAAAATCACGTCATATTTAAGAAAGTATTTTAGGAAGAAGCTCTATAAATAGAAAAGAAATAATGCATAATTTTAATATTAATAATACAATAAACTTTGATCTTAATTTTTGTACCTTAACCGAATAAAATCGAATTACCTTAATTTTTTTTTTCTAATGTAATTAACGAAAACTTGTGAAAATATTTCATTCAAATTAAACCATTCTGAGAAAACTGTCGTGTGAAAAGTATAGCATTTAATTCCGTTCAGAATGAAATGTTTGTATAAAATATGTTGTTTTCACATACTTAGGACTCTGAAGTGTTGTAGAAAAAGAAAATATATACATTTATATGTATATTTGCGACGTAATTACAAAATATTTACACCCGAACGCGTCAAATCCCATAGAACTCAATGGTAAATGACCCAATGTTTTGGTCACCACGTAAAGATCGCCGGTGCTTCAGAGCAGGGTACGGAGAAACTTGTTTAGGGCGACTCCATCTTACTTCCTACCTCCATGGGTATTCCTTTCGTTTATAGGTAAACACATTCCAAGACTTACGGCTATATCTGCGTACGAAGAGGAGTGCAAAGAACATTCGCTACTTGAGGACAACTACGAAAATCTGAGGCAGGGAGCCCGTTCTATGAGCAGGAATGAAGCCCATGGAGAGTTAGTTACCTTAGCCATTCGGCCACTTATCGGGGGACGTTATAACAATATTGTACTTTTATTACGTAATATCATGTACAAGTTCAAGAGAAGCTAAAATTAAAAAAAGAAAATGCTTTTTCTTAAAATCATTGCGTAAGTTATGAAACATGCCAGTATCTCATGCCCATTACAACTCATAATTGAAACACGAGAGGAGATAAACGCAGCTAAAATAGCTTAAATATGTCCAATGCGTTAATTGTATTTAAGCTATTTTATTTCGTCATACTCTTGCCTATTTTTGCTGGCATTCATTTTGTAATTTATAAGCTGCATTCTTTAATTTTCAAAGAACTTTTCAGACTGCGATAAGCCGCTGCGGCATCCGACCTAAGGATTGTTAGTCCAAGCTAGGTACTCACTGTCTTAGCAAAAAAATCTTTGGCATTTTTTAAAATCCTCTGAAGGGTTACATTATTATCTGCACTGTAATTATGAAAAACTTCAAAAGTTCTTATAATAAGTTTTGAGGAATGTTTCCTTCTGGAATGTTAAGTAGGCTGCTTTGGCCAACAATCCTCAGATTGGGGGCCATCTCAGCGGAGTTCAGTGATACAGGAGTAGGATTATATTGTTATATAGGATTTCTGTAGTTGATTGTCATGGGGATTTCGTATTTGCTTCCGTATTAATGTTTTTTCTTTCATCCTACTCCTTATTCTTGGTAATGGATAACTTCATACACTTAAAAACCTTGAAAAATCTCATATCGCAACCGTGGAAATCATTTAGTATTTTATTCCCGACCATTTGTTCTGTTTTTTAGATAACAATAAGTTAAACTAACCCTGAACTGAAGAGATACAAAATTTAATTAACTCTCACTGAAACAGACTAAACAATAGACTTAAATGCAAACCATTCACCGTTACCTAGACTCGTGTATAATTTTACTATTTATGACTTATTTACAAAACTGGAGGGATGTGTATGATCTATGCTGAAGAGGCTTATTTATGTTTTCGTTTTTGACTAAAGTACATCCACGGAATTAGACATCGGAATGTCTAACTTAAAGAACGGAGGCAAAAGCTGTGGAAAAGGATCTTAACATCCTGTGAATTTTCATGTTGTCCTTCAGAAATACACGTCTAGCTGATATCTGCTGAATAGTTCCTTACAGTTAGGCAAAATGTCAACCAAATCCGCTCTTCATGATCAGATAGTACATTTGTTTGCAAAGGAGCAAACAATAGATGCAAAAATCAAAAGAATGTCAAATAGCTGCTCCGCTAACTTACCTGAGCACCTTTTTATTGTATCTAAAACATGCATATATCTTGTTATCCCTCATAATTGTTTAAGGTTTGAGTCAGAAAAATTGGAATGGACAGGATACATTAGAGCAATAGATAAATAAATGCTTGTAATATACTTTACATGTGAATCATTTTTAGATAGCGTAAATAAATGTCACGAAAATACGTTTTTTTAATTTAAAGTACATGTCTTATGAAGCATTCAAGATAAATAATGCGTAAAATCTTAAAACTGTTATTCAGGAGAGAACAATAGTAAAAGCTTTGTGTTGTTACTGTTTATTGTCAGATGTTTGTACAATAATTGAATTTTTATCAGATTATTTCAATTCCAAGATTTTTATGTTCTTCGATGACAAAAATTAGCCTTTGAAAAATATTTTGTAGTTATCAAGCATTACTTGTCTTGTAAATACACCTTTATCTTCACTGATAAGCAAGATAAATAGCATTTATTATCGTAAATTAAATTCTGGATCTTGATGCTTGGGCTAAATTATTGAATTTTTTTTTTTTTACTCTCGTGTGTCATGTTTAAGTTATGAATAACACGACTTGCGAAAGCATCTCATGATAGTGTATATTGAAAGTTAGACTGAATTTTTATTATATATTATCTTTAACATACTTTTTGATAACCTGATAAAAATGTTATGACTAATTTTCTTTTAATTTAAATCTAAAGGAAACAACGAAAGTGTCGAAAAATGCTTTTATTAGCATATATGAAATTTCATAGTAAAATGAATAGGATCAGATTACTAGAGATCTAACTATCAGGTGTGGCTCTGTGTGACCAGACTTGCGCAAGTTTCTGTGGCGAGTTTTTTTAAGTGGCACTGGGGGAAGGGAAGGGATGCCCCGTGGAGGACTTTTCAAAAGAAATTGACTCGTATTCATGTTACACATGCGGAAGTTTAGCGGCTTTTACCGCTCATGCGTCAATTTTCATCTTTCATAGCAAATTTATATAACCTTAAAGTATCCGATATGCGGAATACGGATATCCGTATATGGTATTCCCCTTGTGAAGGGCCCCTGTAACTTTTTGTACGTTTCGTTTTTGTGATCCCAGGTCAGTCTGCGATATATAAAATATAAGTTTATAATTTTCAAAGTGTCTAAATTTTTTTCTGAAAACTTAGGTTAAGATAACAGATTAGGAACCCAAAGGCTATTTGCATAAAACTGGAAACTGGGGGGGAGATACTTAAAATTTTTCTGCATCATATGTCTCTGTATTTTCCTCCCTGGTTTTAATTTTATAAAACCTAGAACTGGAGAAATATGTAAAATTTAATATATTTTAAATACTGTAGGGTAAGCTGGAGACTCATTTTAAAGTTGAAGTTCGAGGCAAGTGCCCCGTCTGTCCTTACCCAAAACAGGCGCTGCAGCTTTAATCAAATCATTGAAGGAAACTAATGATTTCAAGTCAGCAACTAACAAGTCAATCAAGTCAGCAACTAAATTTATTAAATATCAGACAATCACATCGCGCAAATATTCGATTGGTATGAGATCTAGATGCTTCAATATCCAAGGAAGCATATGAATACTTTACAGGGCTTGTCTGCTGATGACTGTCATGAGCGATCGGCGTCGTCTTACTGTAAAACAGCATTTTGAAACTGTTGAATGTAGAACAGTACAACCGGCAGCAGCATTTCGTCCACCTATGGTCTTATCGCCGTTGTGTCTTCAATGCGAACCAGAGGTGATTGCCAGTCCTTGACGATGGCTGCATATTCGACTATGATGCTGCATATTCGACTAGCATGATGTTCAGCAGTCGCAGCAGGATTGGACTGCCTCCAGATTTCTACTTGGCGTCTGTCTTTGAAGAAGCGAGACTAATCACCAGGGTTTCATTTCGACCTTTCACCACACGAGTATTTTGGGCTAGGTATTTTGCTGCCCAGTGCAATTTCTACGGGTTATAAATTCTGTTTCCCGGTGCATCTATAAATTCTAAACATTTTGCGACTCGTAAATTCCTTTTCTTGATGCTTTCCCTAAATTCTGAAAATTTTGGTTAACTTTTGCTGTTCGATGCTTTTACAAATTAAAAAAATTTCTCGCCCCTAAAGTCTGCCCGTTAGCTGAACCTGCTCTGACGGCGGCCATGCTCGTCATTGTACCCTGTGCCATTCATTCATCCTAAAGACACTATTTCACTCTCTAATGTTGGTGGCTTTGCATCAAAGACAGTCTTCGTAAAAGACGACTAGACTACAAGCCGTTTTCGAGTAATTGTCTAGAAATTGTTCTTGCTGATATTCGAACATTTAAAATTCTTTGCATATTGTGAATAATGCCGAAAACCGCACTCTGTAAGGCCACTCCCCTACTGCATACTTTTGGATGAGTGCAGATGCAAGCGTGCTGACGTAAATCTTTCTATAATCTTCGGCTTAAATCTTTTGTATAGTGGACACACGCAGGAATCTTTCATGTGCGATACGATGGAAGGACCAACAGGGTTTCATTTCATAGGCCTAAAACAAAATCCCCTGTAAAATGTCTAATAACTTCAATAAACTTCGACCTTTCACCACACGAGTATTTTGGGATGAAAATACAGTTCAAAAAGTAGGTTTCCCATGGTGATAGACAGTACCATCTGTTGATTCATCCGATGCTTCTTTCCCTTTTGTCTTACTAAATTATCACGTGACAAACTTGTACTATTTCAGATTACTTATAAATCATTCAGCTGTGTTTTATTTGCGCAGTCATAAAGGATAAAAAGGAATGGGACACACACCAAAATTTCACCATTGATTGTACACATATAGTCCACTGCACTAACTGTACTTTTGCCTCAGATTTAACGGACAGCATCTCGGGAGATGGATCTGAACCCTCTCTTCCCCTTACCGCAAACCACTCGAGAAGATTTCTGGCTCGCCAGTATTTTTAGTACCCCCCATGCGGCACAGAAACAATACACTTACAAATTTCGATATACATTTTCTTACAAATATTTTCTGAGATTCGAATCCGGACCCGATGTATGCTTAATCATGCAGTGAAATGTTCATGGTAGTGCGTTTTCTTTGTATGAGATTTTTCGATGGGCTTATTGAAAATGAACTTAAAGACAGTTTTCCTTTTTAACGTGAATGAATTTCTTTCAATTCTATAACTACAAACATGAAATATATAGAATAAATAATTCGAACTGAGTTCAAAATATATATGTTACGAGTATATGTATTGTTGACAGTCCTAACTGCTAAATACTGGCACGGAAATAAATGTGGCTTAATAATAGACTATATTTTTATGTATAAAAATAGTATGGATTGTAAGATAAATTTACAGGCATTAGTAATTTAATCAAGGTCTGATATGCGCAAAGATAGATGGCACACTTTCCTAGGAGTCCATTTTCAGAAGGGAGGTCATATCCTCCTATAATACTTAAAATATGTCTAATTTTATTTTATTTTATTTTTAAATTATAGGTTTCGTAAAATTAGAAGCAATGGGATTAGGAACTCTTAGGGTTCCCTCTTTCTAATTTCTCTGTTTCTTTTATCTGTCTTTTTTCCAGTTTCCAGATCTAGACAGGTTATCTTTGCGTGTTTTTCCTTAATCAATTAAACTAGTCTTACTTTTCAGAAAACATAAGACCCTGATTCAAAATATCTAAGCTTGTATTTTGTATAGAACATAATAAATTGAATCCCAAGGAAAAGGAATTTAAGCAATTTTAAATGAAAAACCTATTGAATGATTATTTTATTCCATGAAGTTCTTGATGGAAATGGCGTCAATGATATGATATCTGTTATACTGAATAAAAATTAGAAGCGAGTTTCACCAAGATTTTTGCTATTTACCCCCAGTTTTGTATGTCGGTCCATATGTATTTTAATTTAAAATTTTAACATACGGTATTTCTTCGATTCAATTTTAAATGAAAAAACTATTGAATGATTCTTTTATTCCATGAAGTTCTTGATGGAAATGGCGTCAATGATATCTGTTATACTGAATAAAAATTAGAAGAGAGTTTCACCAAGATTTTTGCTATTTACCCCCAGTTTTGTATGTCGGTCCATATGTATTTTAATTTAAAATTTTAACACACAGTATTTCTTCGATTCTACTATGCACTCTTTAATTTCTACACCACAAAAGAGAAACAAATACTTTGATTCTATAAAGTACATAAAATAAAACTGCAAAATAAATCTGTCTAGTAAATTTCTTTAATTCATCGATAATGATTTATTAGTGAAATACTGGATTTATTTATTCAGTAATTTGGAAAAGGAAATTCCTTAGCAGTAATTAGTTAACTGAATAAATTCTGCAACTCTAACACCCAAACCGTTTTTCCTGACTTTCCTTTAAAACGAAAATATCTTTAATCCAGAAAGAAGTGATATTCAAGCACAAATATGTAAATGTGTATGTTTATATAACTAGCACGTTATTTGACAGGGAGAATTATTAGACAAGAGCCTCCTTCAGGTTCGTAATTGCATTCTTTCTGTCGAAAAAACAAAAATATATTCTGAAGAATAGGATGTCAAAAGCACTACTTACTGGTAACAGCTAGAAACATTAATTCATAACATGCAACATTTATACCAGGGGAAAAAAAGAGTCGGAATCATAGAAATATGGAATGTTTAGTTGTCACGTGTAATAATATTCAATAAATCACTGATACTCTAATATTATGGTGAAATTTTTGCTCAAAAACGTATATGTAACACATATTATTTTTGTACTTTTCTAGGTCAGAACTATTTTCTTCGCAAAATGTGCATTGATGATTTTATTTCTAGTAGCTAGTCTAACCGCATTCAGTAAGTGTTGAGATTAATTAACAGTTTTTTTTTTATTTCTACAAAAAAGATTGTGAAGGTAATTAGCGATTGTGACTGTCAGTGCATGTCTATTTTAAGCAGATATCCAAACGGTGAAATATCATTCATTAATGAAATACAAAACGAATTTTCGAATGCATGAAGAGAGCTTTACTAGCAGCGTGGCTGAGTTTTTTAATGCAAACTTAACATACAACTTATTTAAAACTTTTTGTTTTTTATTGTTGTGGTTAGTGACATTGACTACTATAGGGAAGTACCCGGGTTCGAATCTCAGAAAATGGATGCTTATGGATGTATAATGTTTGCGCGACATGGGGATCCTCAAAATATAAGGGGAGCGAAAGTCCTCGCTAATGGTTTGCTGGTAGGGGAAATAGAGATCGGAGACTCTCGGACCATTCCTTCGGGAAGCTATCCTTCAGAGCTGGGACGGAACTGGGCTAAGTCTCACTGCCACCTGTATGATGCTCAAAGCTCATGCCAACGACAGATGAAATCGTGCACTTCTTGCAAAGATAAAATTCGTGGACTTATACTGGTTAGGTCAGGCAGGTGAGATCAGCTATACAATAACACAAGAAAACCACTGCTACCTTCCTCCAGAAATTTATTTAGAATCAATTACGATAGTTGAAATTTCTCTATGAACAAGCGTGCTTCTAGACCAAGGCTTCTCAAAGTATTTAAATTTTGCACCACATAAATAAGAAAAGGGAAACGTACATACTACATGTGCTACTACCAGAATCACTTACGGAGGTGATATTCAGTAGCGATGTCTATTTGGATTTTCAAAATTAGTTTTCAAAAACAAATTTAGTTTTCAAAATTAGTTTCAAAATTAATTTTTCACACATTTGGAGGTGTTGTTCTTCTGGAGCTTGTCGCCATAAGCGGTTTCACTGCATTGTTTTCACATGTTAGGCATAAGTATGACATAATAGACGAAATTCGAACATATTTCGTTGCTTCAAATGGCACTTCATTTCTTTTATTCCGGTTAATAAAAGCTAACCCTGTATAATGCACATGCTGAAATATTTCGCTGATGCTTCCAAGATTCTTCAACATTCCGGCCTTTTCTATATAATGCAATTCAAAAATCTTAATTTCAAGAATATTTTTCTCGCACTAGATCAACGTCCGTTGCAATTCAAAATATTTTGTTGATTTAGAAAAAAATATTTCAGATGAACGCAACTAGCATGTCTCTAGAAATTTATTAATCTTATTTTTATTAAAATTAACATAAAAAGTTAGAATTTTCTTGATAATGATTGGAATTGCACATAAGGAATTAGATTGAAAAATGTAATCAATAGTCTGATTTGTCTACATCATAAAATCAGGCAAACTCAGCTTCAAACTGACACTAATTCTGTAAAAATAATCTGCATATTTCTAGACAATCTCGCAAAAATTTCTGTCTTCGAAAAGCAAAATTATTCTGCAAAAGATTTCCCATCTGTTATTTGCAAACGTTTTGATATCTTTAATGTATTACAATAAACTTGAATATAGACTATATATGCACCATTCGTTTGCAGTCGACAACAATATAGGAAGTATCCTATATTGTCCAGCATGTGATGTTATAAGTAAGGACAGAATTTTCTGATGTCATTAAAGGGGTTGAATCTTATTGCATACTAGCACGTCACCATTCTCGATGGAGTTAAAACTAGCCATTCCGATAAAATAAATTCCACCGCACAGACACTTTTACGTACTATTGTCGTCATACAATCATTACGATTATTGTTGATTTTCCTACTGGTCCATAAGAATAGTCTGAATATGGTCTTGCACAATTATATCGAAACATTACAAATATCTGAAAGGTATGTCGGAAGTAAACCCAAAATTAAAAAAAAAAAAAAAAAAAAAATTATTTAGATCAGCAAGAACTCCAAGCAATAAATTGTTTTAGTTGATGATAATTAAAATTTTAGTTAATAGAGATAGGTGTGCAATGCGCAAGAAAAGTAAGGTTTTATTTTTAAAAGTCAAGAGAAATATTATAGGGCATTTATTAGAAAAGTAAGCATAGCTAAAAAATTTCTTATTTCTCCCAACTCCAGCGCAAAGTGGCAATTATGCAGTTCTAAGGGGCTCAACCACCAGGATCAGCTGTTTTTCTCCAGAAGTACAAGTAAATGAAGTGCGACATAGCGGGGACTCTTTCATCTGGACGGACGAGAACGGTATCGAAATAATTAATGCACGATTCACCAAGTTGAAAAATGGCGACTTGGAGATCTCCAACGTTCACATTGGTGACAGTGGAGTCTACAAATGCAAGTACCGATCACCTATTTACGACAACACAACTGGAGAGGCAAGTGAACTGTTTGAGCACAGACTCATTGGTACGGATTTAAAAGACTTCTCTTCCTTTTTTTTTGCTTCTTGACAACATGCAGATTTAAAATACATATATATATTTCTTGATCAACAACTCCTATGTACAGGGGTCGCAAAAGTAGGTACATTGTTATGGCATATCCTCCTCATCTGGATATAGTCTACTATCTGTCTATTCCTTGCGTTGCCGTAAAAACGCATTTATTCTGTCCAGGACCGCAAAAGTCAAGGAATTGTCCAAATCTAGCGCCCAAATAAACTCATGCAAACCTGCGCCCCGGAACCGGGCCCACTCGACGGTGTCCCGGCAGACAGATGTGCAGGTGGAATCCTACAAGGCTCCTGACTCTCACACTGACAGCGAGAGCTTGGGGGTAACTAATGTAGGTAGAAAATCCAAGCCAAGAAAAAATAAATAAATATTTAGAAAATAATCGTAAATAATATTATAAAAACGATAGCAATTAATAACAGTTAAACAGCAATAAAGCGATGGCAGTGGATAAGCAAAATAAAGCTCTCGGCTTAGCACGTGGCTCATAAACACGTGGTCAGATCAGATTCGGTAGCAGGCACAATCTCTTCCACGACGAAACTTCAAGCACCGCTTCCTCCTCTCGAATGAATTACCGAAGGTAACTGTACAGCATTTAACTATCTAATCACTGACCGCCTACGGGACTGGGCCAGTTTAGGTAGAATATATGCGTAATCAAAATCACGTCCTTCACGTTTGCTGTCCCAGCTCAGAATGAGAAAATACTTTATATACTCTCCCTTTTAAAGGGCGACTGGCGATGATGAGGTTTAGTCATCAAATACTTTGGTGACGAATTATCGTTCACCAGTTTTTAGTTTGGGTTCCATTACAGAGCCTTTTAAAATTTTTTGATGTCAGGAAACTGAAGCAATCCGCAGTGCTCTCGTCGGGATTCGAGCTCCGGACCCCCCGAATGTGCATCGAACGTTCTTCTAGTTACACCATGAAGGCACGCGGAAAGGAGGGAGAAAATACCTCATAAAACATTAATTTATTGAAAATTAGGTATGATGTAGTATTATAATTGATAATAAATAAGTACCAAAAAATGTATGCGGTACATAAATTACTAACAAATAATCACTGAAATTGTGAATAAAGGTGTGTCTCCATCAAAAGTTGACAAATAAATGTTCACTGTCGTAAAATTGACTGGCAATAGATCTTAGCAATGTTTTGCCGTTCTAGTCTAGACTCGTTGTTATCAATAAATGTGTTCGTTATTGTTCATACCAAAACACTGGTTGGATTTGCTGCCGTACTCAGTCAAGCTTAATCAAGTTTTGTGAGCGCCGCGGATAACATTACAGTAGAAACTAAACTAAGTAAATTAATGAGTCTCAATATCATGTGTTATCTATTAACACTATGATATAGTTTCATGTTACTGTACTACGTAAAAATAAGTAATTTTGTTAATTTTATCTGCGGCGACTTGGCGTTTTGCGACTTGCGTTTTGCTGTCGTCAACCAGTGCCCAGCACACTCTGGCGTTTGGGAAACGTTGGCCTAGAAACTTTTGTCCATAATCATCTAATATTTTAGAAAAAGTAAATTGAAATGCCGTGGAAATAGAATATATTATCATTCATCAAGTTTGTTGGAATTTTTCAAAAAGAATTAGTGCACAAATTTTATAGACGTATTGTGTACATCTCATAGAACTAGGTAATAGGTATTCTTGCCTGTATATTAAAGCATCTGTTATATCAATGCAATTATAATTAATGCTACTGAATATTATTTTCTAGTGTATGAGATTTCAGGCCATAAGTTCGTGTCTCGAGTGTTTCTGGACATGTCTGAGAGCAGTGTGGAACTTACGCTCCCTCTTTTGAGAGACATCATGGCAGCCAAAGTGTGTGGTTACGAATTGTGCCTTCTGGGACCCATTCAACTGTTGAAATGCGAACTGCTCGAAACAGGTAGTACCATTTTGCCTTCATGATCTTTTTCTCGAACCTTCCATTTTTTTATGATAAAAGAGAAATTTTTATTTGTTTATTATCCGATTTTTGCTTCTCAAGCATTTGCCGGAAATGGCTGATTCCATCGGTCATCAAAGAGATCGCTGCTTAGGGTGAACCAACTGATATTACACGTGCGAGACACACAAAAACCAAATTTACGCGGGATTCGAATCTGTATTCTAGATTTCGACTAGCAGTCAGCACCGCTAAACACTCTATCGGCCAGTTTTTGTTTTTGCTAGAACGCCCCAACCCGCCTGATCACAAAGTAAACTTATGTTCCAAAAAGGGGCGTCCCATTCACACTACAAGCGAAGGCAGCCAGCAACCCGGAAAGTCCTCCAACAAAAGTTAAAACGCCAGATTAATAAAAAAGAACAACTAATCCAAGATATTATATACGAAGCAACTTTAGCATTTAACTTAAAATTCAAAGCTCCAAGAAACCAAACCCGGTATTCCGAGTAACTAAAAATGTTAGTATAATGAACTGAAGAAAATAATAATTATACTTCCAGCAAGGTTGCCATACAACTATATAATTTTATTTCTTTTAAATGGCTGGATTAACGACACAACAGGAAAGAAGAAAACCAAAAATAACTAAATCAAGAAAACTGTATTAGTAAAAATGATAACATAAAATAAGGAAGGAAAACACACATAAAACACACAACGAAAATATGACTGACAGTCACACATATCATCAAAACACGACGAAAAAGACATCCTAAAATAAACCCATTGAGAATAAAACGAACTTAATTAAAAACCCCAATCGCATGTCTATTGCCATTAATAAACGCCATCAAAATGTATATCACTAAAACTTCGTTTAATAAAATCAGTCAATTGGCAATCCACCACGAAGTGTTTGGCATCACCCAAAGCATTACAATTTGGACATAGATCATTATCTTGTACATGAAATCTCTTTAAATAATGAGGATAAACCTACCATGTCCGGTGATAATCTGATTCATATCAATGTCATCATAGATTAAAACTTTATCTGTAATTTCAATATTAATCAACAAATTATTTTTCCTTGTTGAACTTTTCCACACATCTTTCCATATATTTATATAATATTTCTTCATACTCATAATGGCAATTTGTCTAGAACCAGAAATTTCCACAATGGGTGCATTAGTTGAAATACATGCCTCCTTGGCCAGACTGTCAGCCCTCTCATTACCAAAAAACCCCACATGCGCTTTAATCCAATGAAAAGAAATCGTAGAACTGATAGGTTGCAACAGAAATTTAATATCCACAATAATACAGTTAACATTATCGGGCCAAGAGAGCGACTGGAGCAAAGAAAGACAATCAGTATACAAATTTATAGTAACACATGTTTTAATATTCATTTTAATCCATTTCAAGGCCTTTAAAACAGCAATACATTCCGCTTGAAATACTGAATTATAAGAATTCAATCTATATAAACCATAATAAATTTCAACATCATAGAAATATACAACAAAAGCAGCTCCAGTACACCCTCCTAACCCCGAACCATCCGTATAAATATCATATATTCCAATTTTTGGAATTTCTCTTTAAAAACCCATAACTGATTCTATTTACAGGGTGTAATAAATGTACATTAAATTTTTCAAAAACATATTTAGTAATAATATTAGAATCAAAACAAATCATATCAATATTTCCAGAACGTAAAAGATATTTCTTGTAATAAAATTCGTAATAAACTGAGAGGGGAGGCAGTCCGGCCAATACACAAACCACCTCCGTGGGGACTGTCCTAAAACAGCGAGTAATTGCAAGACTCCAAGCTCTCTGTATAGAATCAAACTTCATCCGGAGCCTCACCAGCTCCCCCGCTCTGGAACCCCAGGCGCCAATTCCATACATCACAATAGGTAATATAACGGCTTTATATAGAACCAATAGTATACCAGATCTCTTAGCAAAAATATATCGCCCGCAAATTTCCTTCTGTAGGCAAGTAAAAGCTGATCTGTTCTTCGCTGCACGTTCTTAAAGCGTTCAACAAAAGTGAGCTTACAGTCCAACACAACACCTAAATATTTCATATTTTCTGTAAATTTAATTCTCTTATTATGATATCGAATTCGAGGAAGTCTCACCACACGTCCTCCCCTCGGGAAAAACATAGCCTGTGTGTTATGCATATTAAAATTAAAATTTTCACCATTACTCTGATTACGAAAAATTGCACAGGTCTCATCAAACAATTTTTTCCAGTTTTTCAAGTGAGTCCCCCCTAAACAATGCAACGACGTCGTCAGCATAAGCAACAAGTTCCACATTGCCAGAAAATTCACATTGAAGCAAATTTATTCATAATCACGTTCCAGAACAGAGGAGCGCTGCGGGACACTCTGCGGGCAGCCTTTACCAATTTTAAAAGTGGACCCATATTTACTTTCCGAAAAGCAATTAAAATACACTCTTCTACTCTTAAAATAATCCAAATCAAATAAAAAATATTCTGGGTATATACAAATCTTGAAGAGTCCCCAATAAAGAGACCCAATCCACGTTATCAAATGCAGAAGCGATGTCAAAAGAGACAAGCGGTAAGAACGTGCTGGTTAACCCTATGTTCTCTAATATATGAGAAAACTCGAAAAAGAGCATCATCGGTACTTCGACCAGGAACAAAACCACATTGACTATCATGGAAAGGATTATATTTAAAAATATAATGCATTATCCGATTAGTTATCAATTTATCAAGAACCTTTTCAAATATCTTTAATAAAGCAATTGGCCTTGATTGGCTTCTATCGACCAGTGTAACAAACTGTTATTTTACATTTCTTTACTTATCATCGTGTCAAAAGTCAGCAAATTATGCCATTGTTAGTACTGGATGAAGCGGCGAGCTATACGAGCTACTGGTCCCAAGAAAGATAGTCTCAAGGGGATGCTAAATAGCCAAAACTGAGCGGCTTATATACTTTAAAATGAGCGGCTTATATACTTCATATGAAAAGGAGCCAGATATGCTTTTTCCTGGTACCTCTAGTGATGTCACAGTACAAAACATACCGTGGAATTTTAATTTAATCTCATACAGGTTTAAAGAAAGGACTTTCAATTCAAAATTCTCTTTTCTTTTCGCGTTCCTTACTTTCCTTTTTATTTTTTATTTCTAAAAGGATAATGTAACAAATATTAATCTAGTGATGTTGCCTTTGGGCCTGCATAAAAAATGGAAATAACTCATGTACTTTTAAAACCAAGCAATAAAAGTCATCTCAGTTTGGCATAAATTTTGAAAGGGTCTATCAGATTTTATGGCGATCATGCACAGGTTCCTCTTCTTCAAGAACGAAAACATTTTGGACGAAGGTCTATGCCAAACTAAAGTTGCTTTTTTTGGGTGGGGGCGGCCAATTTGAATTTTACAATGGCACATGTCTCTTCCATTCAAACCATGCACTTATTTTATCTTTTAGTTTTGATTCATTAGTATATTATGTAAAGTCTTAAGCAGGCATATGCATGAATTGAACTGGTAAATAGCTGATATTTTCAACCCGGTTATTTCAAGAGTATATCAGATACGGATGCAAGGGTGGGCAGTAACTCTAAAATCACTACTATTTAGTACGGACTCATTCGAATATTGTTAGGGAGAGTTCAGACTATACAGATGTAAGGCTTAAATGCATCAGCTTCGTTCATACTTGTGAAGTAAAATTTAAGGAAGGAAGGGGAACATGTCCAGAAAGAAAATTAAAGGCAAAGTTCTATTGCGGCAAGGCAAAATTGTACTCCTACAATGCGCTGAGCCCATCCGGCTTAGTGGTTAGTAACGCTGACTGCCCTACCGACAGGCTCGGCCTCGAATCCCGGAGAACACATGGATATTTATAAGCGTTTAGTGTCTTTACGCCAAAGGGGCACTCAAAATACACAGTGACCCGAAAGTCCTTTCGAGAGGTTGCGTTAAAAGACCCAGACACCGCTTCCGGAATGTTCTCCCTGAAAACTATGGTAAAGCTTAACATTTAGTGTGGCGGGATTATAACGGTGCAACCAATGATGCATTTCGGTTGTCCCACCCTCTTCTAGCTGTATCTGTACCTGAACGAATGTGCTGCTGACTTAGGGTTCTTACGTATAAGAGGTTCGCGTAACGATGAATAGTTAGAAACATTTAAATAAAACCTTAATTAAACCGGCTTTCTTAACATAGCGCAATAGCTAGTTACACAGAAACGAAGGTCAGGATTATACTGTTGTCTCTTTCTTCAAAATAGGCATATCAAGGAAGTTGCCAGCCTTCCCCAGTTGCGTTCGTAATTCAATTCATCCTCATCCCTTAGCACTTATTTTCTCCACTTGATTTGGGACTGCAGTTCCAGTAAGCCTTCATTCGCGCGCTCTTCATGAAGCTACACGTGCTAAACGGAAATAAAGTGGTGGAAAAAATTAAGCAACTCGACTCGAAGGAACTTTTTCCATAACTGTTGTTTCCATGGTTACGAGTCAAAAAAGGCGGCGATAAATAACCTCTTAATCCCTATTTTAAAATAACTGACTATAGTAGTGACCATAAAGCTCTCGTCTGAACGCTTCCTTGCACGAGATAATATTCAGGTGAATTCGTACACAAAAACCGTGAACAATTGCCCATGTTTTCAGTGTTATTTCATTATTAAGTATCTATCCCCCTGTAGAAAACATATCTTTGGCTTACTAGTGTTATCTCGAATCAGTAGTATGCAAGACATTGCCTTTATTATTATTATTACTATTATCATTGGTAAGGGAAAATTTTCGAGTAAATTCGAAGTTTTAAATCTATAAGCCCAGTGACAGTGTATTATCGATTTCAGCTTTTGATGCATCTTCAAGGAGAAGAAGAAAAGGAATTATGTATATATATTATATACTTCTCTGTCATCATGAAATGGTGCTATTAAAATGCAGCGTTTTTTTTATATATAGTTTAAGACATGAAAAACTTCATGTTTATAGAAGATTCTTAATGCAATGCACGCTTATTTTTTATGATATATGCTGAATCTGCTAATGTTTCATACACAGTTTAATTAATAATTTCTTTCTGCTTTGCTACTAAGCAATAGATAGCATTTTAAATCCAATAACTCAGAATGTGGTTTAAGGCAGCAATTCTCAAAGTCTTGTAGAGACATTAGGTTATTTCGAAGCAGTAGACGTGAAAAATGAGCAATGCCCTCGCCGGGACTCGTACCACGGACCTCTCGAATACGCGCCGAGGGTGCTGGCCACTACACCACGAAGACATTCTAAGAAGGCGAGAGAAATATCTTATAGTCTGTTATTCGGAAGAGCACCTGGTAAAAATTGTGAGGTTTTTGCCGTAAAAGCTCAAAAATCGCTGAGTGTGCATGCTGCTGTGTGCGTACATGTTCGTTACGGATTGGATGCACAGAGAACCGATGATAGATTGATAAAATTTATTTTCGTGAAAGAAACACTTTACAGTTCCGGAGCTTTCCACAGAAGCCCTGGAACAGCTCTTCTTAGTATCACATAGCAGTAGTTACACGTCAAACTGCTAAGAACATTCAACACAACGCAATGCAAAAGACATTTTAAAGGCGAAGCTAAAAGGTACATTGTCTATGCTCCTGATCACTTCAATGGTTCTCGTAAGTATTTTTACATAACATGGATATTTTTACTAACCTTTGCGAATTCAACCAATAAAAATTGCCTAGTTATCCAACCCTTACGGTCAACCGTTCATATAACGGTTGATGTAGTTTTAATCACACTGCTTTTCAAATACCGTCAGATTCTCTGAGTGGTACACCTTGCACACACACACATCGAAGGATATCACCCGTATGGATTGGGCAGCATTCTCACCGGACTTGAATCCAGTAGATCACTTGTGGGACATGCTTGGCCGACGAGCTGCAGCCCGTCGAAATTTAACTTGCGTTGTGATCTAGCCCGTTGAAATTTAACTTGCGTTGTGATCTAGCCCGTTGAAATTTAACTTGCGTTGTGATCTAGCCGTTCCTCAATAGATACTAATGACGGCTAGCTCTAAAAGGATTTATTAACAGAGCACATAGAAACGGTTAAAAAAAATGAAACATATACCAAATTGAACATCAAACATTAGAATTACAGAGACATCTAGTACATGGTAACCTATCATCATGGCGGCTGGAGGTTTTCCTCTTCGCCACTAGATGGCGTTCAATACAATAGTTCGGTTACAGTTAAATACACTCATGTCCATAAATTAAGGATAATGCAAAATCAGGGAAAGGAAGAGTTAGAAGCAAAACAAATTTGACTTATTTGTAAAGCTTATTTATTAAACAAAAGGTAAAGAGCAAAAAAAGATGCTATATGTTTGATATTATTAAAAAAAATTAGCGATTTTTTTAGCAAATTACAAAAAAAAAAAAAAACCTATTTACAAAAAACCAATATTACATGGTTGGTATGATTGTTAATACATTGTATGTCTCCCAGACGATGCAATACAGTCCGTACAACGCCTAGGCATGCTGAGTATCAAATTATCGATCTGATCTTGGGGGATATTACACCACTCAAAAAGCAATGCTCTCCGAAGTTCCGGTAGACATGTAGGAGGAGGTTGACGGGCTGCAACTCGTCGGCCAAGCATGTCCCACACGTGCTCTACTGGATTCAAGTCCGGTGAGAATGCTGGCCCAGTCCATACGGGTGATATCCTCCGATTGAAGGCATTCGCTTACGATGTTTGCACGGTGAGGACCGGCGTTGTCATCTATAACCACAAAATTGTGCGTCCATGCCGCCTCGAAACAAACGTACATGTTGTTCCAGAATGATGTCCTGATAGATTTGGCTTGCCATGGTTCCAATTTGAACATGCAGGTCAGTTCTGGAACCCAGAATAATTCCACCCCAAACGAGCACTCCTGCACCACCGTAACGGTGTCGTTCAATGATGTTTTCTTGGTGGTAACGGGTACCTGGAGCTCTCCATATGAAAGTCCGGCGAGAATCAGACTGCAAGCTAAACCTGGACTCGTCGGAAAACATCACACAAGCCCACTGTTGCGGTGTCCACAATGCATGCTCTCTACTCCAGGCTAACCGCAGGCGACAGTGAGTTGCAGTAAGTGGAACGCATCTGACAGGTCTACGAGCATATAGACCAATCTGCCCTAAGCGTCTGTACACGGTCTGCCTTGAAATTGTCGTACCAGTGGCTGAAGAGAGCTGACGAGACAGGTCTGAGGCTGTGCTCCGCCTGTTTCTTTTGGCAGTAACTGCCAAATACCGGTCCTCATTCGGCGTTGTAACTCTGGGGCGACCTGTGCTGTAACGTCTACTCACATTACCATCATCTTGGAACTGTTGCCAAAGCCTGGAGATGACACTCTGGGCAATTCCAAGTTCGTCTGATACTTCCAGTTGGGTACGCCCACATTCCAGACGGCCGATAATTCTACCACGTAAAAAATCATCCAAATGCGTCCTTTGTGTCATAACTATTCGGTTATTGCACTGAAATGCTTATAAAGCGCCTGCGAACAATTTTACTTCTTTGCCTGTATTCCTTATATATCACTCTCTTACACTCTCGTCATTGTGACGTACCATCGGTGTCATCTGGTTACTTCCTGAAATTTGCATATGATTCTTGAAGATGTGTGTAGTGATTTTACAAGTGATATATTTATTGCAGAGTTCGATTTACGCGTGACTCCGAATTATCCTTAATTTATGGACATGAGTGTAGTTCTGTTACAGCGTTTGCTATGTCTCGAAAGCACAACTTAGGATATAGATTAGATTTATTCTAACAGCTAACATTAATTTACAAAAATTGAACTTTTCCTGAAATAACATACCAATTTTTTTTTTTCATATTTCGATTCTACGACTCAAATTATGCCAAAGTGCTAAGTTTTGTAAAAATCGCACGTGTACTTTTTAAGAAATTAGCTCTGAAGATATACGTGAATTTACATACTGCCGCGTTTTGAAATACTTTGTTTGTTCTCTTTGGCATTTTTCCGAAATAAAGCAATTTCTTTACAGCGAATACTTGCTAAGGAAGAAATCCTTCAGCTTTTACAATCATTAAAATCCTGTGCAAATTTCTCAGTAGTTTGTTTTGGTTCAGAATCGTAGCTCCTGCATGTCTAATTATCATTAGTATGCCACTTCTTTTCTTAAACTTCTCAAATATTCTGTGCTAGCATTAAAAGCTTCGGTATCAGCAATAGTATCCGGAGTAATTTTTACAAGGCCATCATGCAGTCGCCTTGCCAGTCTCACAAATGATGCCTTCATAAACATTGTTAGTAGCTAACGTTTGCTCAGTTTTCCAAATGAGCAGTAATCTCTCCTCATTCTTCAATCGCCTATGAGCTTTGTTAATTGTCTACCACTCCTTTTGCAACATTAGCATCTTTGTTCGTGTCCTTATTTTTGAGAAAAGTGCAGATTGTTGATTTTACCACATTGTTGATTGCACAGATTGTTGATTATACAACATCACATATGTTGTACGCATAGCATTGTCATTGATTAGTAAACTGAACTGTCAGAGACATGAATCCCATATTCATATTTATCTATAATTTCTTTCTTCACATCTAGTCATTATTTATTTTTTTTCATTTTGTTACTATCACTACCCTCTTTTCCATGTGGTATCTTAATTAATTATTTATATTACAAAATACTGATCACAATAAAGTTTAAGGTGAAAATTAAAGTCGAAAAAATACAACGCCGGAACGAAAGCTACATATCAATAAGCAGTTTCCAGCCGACATTTCCGCCTTGTCGCCCTACGGTGTTCAAATGCAGATGTTTCGTTACAACTTCATTTAAAGTGAAACTCACACGTCACGTGATCTTCTGCATTTTGGAGTATCATTTGCCGCGGGCTTACTTGTTCATATCTCGTGATATCTTTCGTTGAAATTTGTGAACCGATTTCTTCGTGATCCAAAATTCCTTTGTAATTAAAATAGATCTCCATTTAATTCCGCTAATACTTCCAGCTTGATAAAATTTCTTAATACTTTCAATTTTATTCGAAGCAGAAGATGCTTCACTCCGTTGTTCATTCGTTCAAATCACTTTAACGCGTGATCATATCCATATACCGATGTACGCTAAAAATTAATTTTCTCTTACAAAAGCAACAATTTATGCATAATAGATATTTTTCGTCTTCAGTACATAAATTCTTTTAGTAATACATTTAAATTTTGCAATTAACCTTCATTTTCATATCTAAATTTCGACTTTTATGTTCATGATTATTGTTTTTTCCACAGAAGAAGCAAGTGTGCGAGTTCTCCATATCATATGAGGCGGTTAATCAAATGGCGGACGAGAGATGCGATGAAAACTGTGTCAGAGAAAGCAAGTACGAAGGACTTAAAAAGGTCAGGTTTTCAGCTTTTACATCATGTATTCCCCATTTTCTTCTTTCAATCAAAAGAGATTTTTTTGGGGGGAGGAGAGAAAAGTATAAAGGAAGTGTATACTTCCATTGACCAATCCATTAAACGAAGAAAAAAATAGCGTACCCATGTTGGCATTTATAGTTTGCCTTATTCTTCATAGACACTAAATGTATATAGAAAGATTTGTTATTAATATTTTTTATATAATGAATAATCTTCTTACTCTTTTGCTGTTATAAAGACCGTGGTGCTAAGCAGATATCTTTTCACCTCAGAATTGTATATAAGTATATTAGTGACTGAACAATAGCTGTAGATAAACATTAGGGTTCTTTTTATTTGTTTAAAACTCATTTCGAGCTTCACTTAGGTGATTATCCTCCATGAAGGTAAAAGGAATTATCTCGTGATATAATATAAAAGGAACCATACGTGCTAAATATAAAAGGAATTATCCGTGTGTTATCTCGTAATGTAAGTTGTTAGCATGTCCAGCTAGAAATTATCACTAATTGTATGCGTAGTTCGCATTTTGTTCTTGCATTCTTAAAACCGCTAATTGTAACTCTGTCGTTTTACTTTGTGCTGTGTTGTGTTCGAAAGTTCAAACCGCCGAATAAAGGTTAAATTTACAGTCACTCGCATGATGTATTCTTAGGTTTATTAATTTAAAGTTAGATACCGCTTCGCTACTTATTTGGTCGTCATACGCCGAGCTTCGAGTAAAACCCGCGCTTGTGAATAAGAATTCTACGTGTCCGTATGGAGTGATATATGAAATTTCGGTTTAGAATTCTCAAGACTTACGGAATGCAACAATGTTCGAGGTGAGTGAAATAGCTAACGCATTTTAATTGCATTTGAGATTTCCTTATGCTACTATTGTTATGTTTAAAGTATTAGTAAAATCGAGAATTTAGAATATTTTCAAAATGTCAGATATAGAAAAAAAGCGAAAGAAAATTTTGAAAAACAGTTAACTAAATTCATTGAGAGATAGATATGATAACTTAGATAATGCTGAAGCTGAATTAATCTTAGAAAATGTAAAATCTTTAAGGAGATTTTAAATCTCTATTAGAGAAATTTAACAAATTGTGATGATGAAAAAATAGACACTTTCGTTGACGAAGACAGTCGATTTTAGAGAAAATTGAGGAGGTTCACTTAAAAATTATTCGTAAGTTAAGGTTTACAAGGTCGTAAATGCAAATGGCGACAAACCTGTCGTACCTGAATCAATCTCTGAAAGTTTAAAGTTACCAAAAATTACTTTACCCCCATTTAGCGGAAATTTAACTGAATGGATAACATTTAAAGATTTATTAACGCTAGTGTTCGCACAATCCAAATCTTTCTGGAGCTCAAAAATTACAATATTTAAAGAGTTCTTTGAAACATGATGCTTATCGCATTATTCGTCAATTCCCATAGCTGATCAAAATTTCAGTATGCTTGGAATTAATAGAGAGAGATTTCTAATAGAGAGAACGATATTTGCTTTATTAAAAGAATTCTTAGTTTCACAATTACAAACGGAATCTGCATCCTCGATATTAAGTTTAGTAGATACGTAAACGAAATAACTCGCTCATTGGAATATTAGATCAAAGGATAGATATTTTAGTGATACTTTGTTGTGTATATTATTTTGCAAAAACTTGACGTTCGACAAAGTTGTGGTGGGCGTCATTAAAAAAAGATGAATACCAAGTTGAATGACTTGATAGAATTTTGAAGAATTACGCTAGACCATTACAGAACAGTAAACCTTTAGTTAGTAAAAACGCATAAATCAGATAAACAGTGTATAATAGGGTTACTTCTCTGATTTCTAATTCTACTGCTTATTTGTAAAGAAGATCATTTTTTATACAGGTGTTCTAATTTTTTAAATTACCAGTGCGAAAACGAATAGAGTTTGTTAAGGTAATAAAACTTGTTTTTAATTGCTTGTCTAATGTCCATAAAGTTAAAAGTGTAAGAGTGCAAACACCTGCAAGCATTGTTTTAAGCATCATCTAGCATTTTGCATTAGAAAATAATTTCAACCAAAAAATGCATCTAGATTCCCTTCACGGAAGCACAAGTGTTTGTTCCGAAATCGCAATTAACCAGAAAACAACTTGAGTGAGGTTCTCCAACTGTTTGAGCAAACAACTATGAAATAAACATTTTGGAGCTCATGCTAATGGTAAACGTTACATGTACTTTTGTACTGCTTTATTCAAGGTTCAAACTCAAACCAGGAATTCATAAATTGTAGATTTACTAGATTCAGGCAGTGAAAAATCATTCATTCGTCGGAAAACAGCTATCAATTTAGGATGGCATAAGGATTCGAAGATATTAGTGTCATGCTTAGGTATTCAATACAACTACTACTGGAGAAGAATTGTGTTTACACCTCATTTTAATACTAATTACAGATTTCAACATCCGCTTTAATAGACAAATTAAGGAAAATTCCAAGTGTAACTTTACCTTGAATTTATATGAAAATTTCCAGGATTTACTCTAGCAGATCCTACATTTCATGAATCGGGAGAGAATTGATATTTTACTGGAGTTAATGTATTCCTTACTTAATAAAATGGCGAGTAATTAAAAGGGGCAAAAATCTTCCATTGCATGTTGTTCTAAGTTAGGATGGATAATTGCTGGAACTACACATTTTGAATTCCCAAACCGTAAGCAGGTTTCAGTCAATACGCTAAACGTAAACACGAGGATTAGTTAAATCATTTTGGGATTTGGAACAATTCCCACATCGAAACCTTTAACTAAAGAGGAAAGATTGTGTGAAATCATTTCGTGGAAAATCACGTGCGTAGTGAAAAGGGTCGTTCACTCAGTAAATTGCCATTCAAGCCTAAAAGAAGTGAGTTGGGTAATTCCAGACCTCAGCCTTTCGCAACTTTCTTAGTCTGGAACAAAAATTAATAAAAACTCCTGAAGTATATCAACAGTAAAACTTCATGTCCGAATATTTATCACTTGGACACATGGAAGAATTATCCGATGATAATCCAGATAAAGTAAATTTTATTATTATATACCTCATCATCACGTGCTAAAAGAATCCATCTTACCACAAAATTACGCGTCGTTTCTCAATGCTAGTGCCAAAACTAATCAGGGATATCGCTTAATGACACGCTAATGAATGGTCCCACGGTACAAGACGACTATTTTACTATTCTTTGAGGTTTAGATGCTATCCATAGCCATTCCTAGCGACTTATGAAAATGTATGACAAGTTCAAATTCATGATGAAGATCGCGAATTCCAAAAAATATTTTGGAGAGATGACCATCGAAGCCGATTAAAACTTATAGGTTGTGCACAGTTACGTACGGCACTACTTCAACTTCATATCTGGCTACTCGCGTACTCGAACAAGTAACAATTGACGGAAGGAGCTAATTTCACCAAAGGCAGCTGAGATAATATTACATAATTGTTATATTGATGATGTCTTATTTGCTTCAGACACAGTAGAAAACGCAGTAGAGTTAATTTCTCAACTGAGTGGAACTTTTACAAAAAGGTGGCTTTTAATTGCATAAGTGGTGTACAAAGGATCGCTCGATTTTGGAAAAATTGTATTGAATGCTCAGAACGCTAATTCTTCATCCACAATTATTGATACTAAATCAATAAAATTATTGGGTTTGGAGTGGTATCCAACGCGAAGTCGAGTTTACTTGTCACTTTGAAAATCTTGAAAACATTGAGCATTCTACTAAAAGAATGATTTTGCATTCTATTTCGAAAATCTTTGTGATCCACTTGGTTGGTTAGCACCTTTCATAATTGCAGCAAAAATCTTGCTTCAAGACATATGGAAATTACAAATCTCGTGGGATGATCCCTTGCCAGATGAAATCAATCAAAGATGGAAATCTATTGTGAAGATATCGCAAATCTTGAATGCATTCATATTCCTAGGAGAGTATATTGCCCAAATCTACAAATGTAGAACTTCATTGTTTCTGTGACGCATCAGAGAAAGCTTACGCCGCAGTAATTTATTTAAAGTCTTCAAATCATTCTTCAATTTCGGTGCAGCTACTAACATCAAAAACTCGCGTAGCTCCCCTGAAAGTAATCTCTATTCCTCGTTTAGAACTATGCTATGCTGCAGTTATTAGTGCATTGGTTCAAGCTGTGCAGAATTCATTGCAAATTCATGTTGACAGTATTTACGCATGGAGTGATTCATTGATAGTTTTGTCCTGGATACAATCAGAACCAACACGCTGGCAAAACCTTCGTAGCCAACCGCGTTTCAGAAATTCAATCAGTCTACCTTCATCGCATTGGAATCACATAAAAGGAAAGGAGAATCCAGCTGATTGCGCATCAAGAGGTCTTTTGCCTTCAGAACTTTTCTACTCATGACTTGTGGTGGAAGGTCCTCAGTGCTTAATTCAAATAATATTCCGTTCTCTATCAACTTACCATTTTCAGAAGAGTCTTAAGGGAACAACGGAAAAATATTTCTGTTCAATTGGAACAGTCGCTTCGCAATTCCAGTCCTTAATGAAGTTTCATCATTTTTGAAACTTAAAAGAATCATCACATGGTGTTTCGGTTTGCGAATAATTCAGCTAAATCTACCGCAACAAGAATTAAGGGTTACCTTAAAACCGAAGAATTGCAATACGCTAGAAATGCAATTGTTAGAGTAGTTCAAATGGATGAGTTTTTTTAATGAATATAATCTTCTGAAAAGAATCACCGTAAACTCAAATAGTAAGATCCTTTCTTTGAACCCGTTTATCGATAAGAAGGACTTATACGCGTTAAGTAAGACAATCCAACATCGCGCAGGACAGAAAATATCCTATTTTGTGCCCAAGAAATATCACTAACCAGATTATTGTGAATCATTTTCATGAATCCCATCTTCATGCTGGCCCCCTGCTATTGCTATCAGTAATTAGAAGAGAATTTTGGATAACCCCCGCTAGGTCAGTTGTAAGACACATTTGGAAATGTGTGAATGTCATCGTGTACGAGCTAAAACATCTACCCAGATAATGTCTGATTACCATCGTCTAGAGTCGTTCCGTCAAAGGTTTTCTCCAAAGTTGGAATTGACTACGCCGGGCCATTTCAAGTGAAGCCCAGGCAAGGTCGAGGAGTAAAACCAATGAAATGCTACATTTGTGTATTCGTGTGTTTACTACAAGAGCTATACATATTGAATTAGTAGGTAATCTTACATCAGAATCATTATTGCCGCTTTAAAGCGCTTTGTGTCTCGAAGAGGAAACCAGGAAACTTTTCCTAGCTCAGATAATATTGTGGTATCGTGAGATCAAAACCGCTAACGGAGTTTTCACAAGGCAATTCACAAACTTAGTGTTTTGCCTATCAATGATTAGTTTTTTTCCTAAAGCTTATAACTTGTACTTTGCTTTAGCTATATAAGTTCATGAATTGTATCAAGGTTCTGGATCTGTTTTGGAACAATTTAGTTCATTGATAATTTCAATTAATGTTTCTTGTGAATATTTGATGATATATTTTTGCATAATTTAATAGTGTTATGATAATTTCATTTGTAAAAAGCTTTTAGTTTGAAACGATTGTTTAACGCCGGGCGAATGTTTCAGCCACCAGAGCTCTTGCCGGTCTGTGAGATATTATTTCGCAATGCGCAGATTGTATGCGTAGTTCGCATTTTGTTCTTGCATTCTAAAACCGCTATTGTAACTCTGTCGTTTACTTGTGCTGTGTTGTGTTCGAAAGTTCAAACCGCCGAATAAAGGTTAAATTTTACAGTCCACTCGCAAGTGATGTATTCTTAGGTTTATTAATTTAAAGTTAAGATACCGCTTCGCTACACTAATGTTTCTTCGACTTCAGTAATAATTAAATAAAAGCATATTGAACTGAATTACACTTCATGAATGGGTTAGCAATAATGCTTAAAACAGAGATAAAACTTTCCTGATGGTATATAAGAACGCATATCCATTGTAAAGCATAAATGTTTCTTGGTGGAAAAGATTTCAATATATTATTTTAATCTTCAACAGCTATAAAACATTATAACATCTTTAAAAGATAAAAAAAATTATTATAAAAATTATAAAAAAATTATTAAATCTTCCGTTCGTATACCAGAACTGTCCGAATATCTAGAAGAATAACAGTGATCACTTCCTCCAAGTTGTTTCGAAATATGGTCCATCCTTGATCAAGGGGGTTCAAATCAGAGAGAAAACTTGACCGGCATATTTATTTTCTAGGAATCCTTTCAGTAAGAAAATTCGACAAAGTGTACCCTTATCCTCAATCAGGAATCATATCCTAATGCTCCCTTTGAATTGTTGAACATATTAAAGCTCAATGACATCATGATTACTTTGGGCTGCCAGGTTATGTATGTATGCTAGCTGGACATGCTAGGACTATACGTAAGCCACTATTATTAGTTTATGCTTTATTCTTTTCCTTGGTTACCTGATTAGTTATACTTAGATGATATTTCAGTTTAATATGTTTACGTATGAGATGTGTTGTGAATAAAAATAAGAAAAACTTGGACAACATAGTCTTTCATGTGAGAATCACGTTTATTCTTTAGTGTGATATAATATTTATTTTTTATGATATTGCTGTTGAAATGAATTTTAAGGTTTAAGTGCGAAGAACATGATATTTAATAAATAAAGATAACACACAAAACGTTAATAAAATGCCCTTTTAGGCGTAATATAAAATCTGAAAGCTTTCGGGTTTTTTTCGGGGGCGGGGCTAAATTTGTATAATTCATTATTTTATTCTCTGTTTTCATAAACTTTCATTCATTTAGATAACGCTATTTAGATCTTTCAAGAAAATAACAAAACAAAATATTTTAAACAATAAGGCAATACACAACACATGGCAAAAATTATTATGACCCTCTAAATGTGGTCATACCCTCAGGCGTTAAGAACACATGGTGGATCACAAGCCTTTGGAACTCTGGGAACACTGCCATCTGTATTTGACCTACAAGGGATAGACCTATAATTCTGTTTTACTAAACATTATCTAATACTATATTCATTTAGTATATAGTATTTTTGTATCCACGAAAAGGCCAAAGTTCCCCAACCTGGAACTCTGATTCTCACTTTCTTAACCCTACCTTTTGAACGCTCCATCACATATGTTGTACGCATAGCATTGTCATTGATTTATTAACCAGTCTTGGAAGTTCTAAAAGAGCTTATGAAAGGTTTCGTAATTAATAAACATTGCATAGTGCAACATTTTTCTATAACTAACAATTTTCCTTTAATTTTGAGACGGCGTATTTATGTGAAACTTTTGTTTTCTAAAACATAGTAACTCGCATGTATCAATAGTTTACTTTTTATTTATATTAGTGAAAAAATAAATGAATCATGAGCATTTTGTATTCCAGGCAGAAAAAATTCTCATAGCACAGTTACAGAGTCTGTCTTCAAATCCAAAAAGTGGTCTTAAAGCGGATATGAACACTTTCGATACGAAGCATATGGCTACATGCAGAGCCGGTTTCCATTTTGTCAAATCCTTTTTTAAAAGGTGTTGTAAGTATAGTTTTGTTCTATTTCACCTTTAAACCGAATTAAGTAAAACATGGTTGCACTTGAACGTTGTTGAACGTATCTTTCTAAGACGACCATCGCTATGGAAGATCAAAATCATCTAGAATCGTGGCTGCCTACCTTAGAAAGGGTTCATTGCAAATAAAAAAGTATTTAAAAGATAAAATTTCGTGTTAAAACAAAAGGGAAAAGCTAAATACATTAAATAATGTAGAGGTAGATTCTTCGACTCCATTTACTTCTACTTCAACTCAGTAAGGCATGATGAAGTAGCGCAGCTTGCATTTATTTCCTATTAGTAAAATAAAGCAGTAATTATGCTTAACTTGTGCTCTATCATGTTCTTTTGAAAGTAAATCCTACAATAATGTTTCACTTAAAATTTTGCTCAAAATTCTCATATCATCTCACAAGATATAGAGCTTTACCTAAAATTTCCATACTAAAGATAATTCTAACGAACGAAAAATTACATTGGCATCTATTAGCCTTCTATTATATATTTCTTCTTAGATCTTCTTTTACATCTATTAGCCTAGCATTTATTGTGATACACATTTATGGCTGATATACAGTGTATACGGCTATTTATGTTAACATTTTAGAGCAAAGATTAGAGAAATCAAGAAAAAGATATCAGTTAATTTTTACGTAGAGATGGCAAATATATTTATTTTAACGGATTTGGTTTTGTATTGTCATCTTACAAAATTAAAATCTGTCTTACACAGTATTAATTGGTTAATTTCTTTTATACAGTTTTATATCTTTTCATTTAATTTTCACATCAGCTCTAATTCTCTTAATAACTGCATAATCTGTATTATGATATAAATGGTTTAATAAACTTTTCAAAAACAAAACTCTCAAACAATATGGTAAGGCTTTCGGTTTAAACACTGCATTTCTTTGTTTCTAAGTTACTCTTTTTTCCCCCTATGTAAATGTCTCTCAAATGAGTCTTAAAATGCTGAGTCTTAATATAGGGATTTTCTCCTCTTATTAGTTATTCTGAAGAACTCAGTTTTTTAAAATTGCTAATTGCTGCCGTGCAAATCAACACAGTGTATAAACCGACCCCGAGATTTTAACTAATTTTATAATTCATTTTTAATTTTAGATACATCCGTCGCAAAAGTCGACTCTGTGTTTATGATAATCTAAGCTTTCGATTTTTATATGCAGAAAAAAGTATCCAATACCATAAATATGCTTCTTAATATTTAATAAAAATTCTTTTCCCCTTTTCTTTACTTACAATGGAAAGAAAAAGCAAGTTTTTTTTAAAATTCGGAATAGGTATGATGCTGACCAGCGTAGCAGATAGCACGCATTTAAATCCTATGCTGCTGGGTTTTTTTTTTTTTTTTTTTTTTTTTAAGTTGTTACCAAATATTTAATTACCCACAGAATTCTTTTTCTTTTTCAAGTGCACGGGTTAATCCGGCTGTAGTTGACCATGAGATTATTGTAGGCCAAATAGATCGTTTAAATAATATCATGTGTTATTTGTTTTATTTTAACTAATAGTTTCAGGATTTGTTTTTGTGTAATTAAATTCATCACCATGCATTTTGTATATTTCTTATGTAAAATTATAGCGCTAGTTATTCTGAATCCAGCAACGCTTAAACTGTGAAAATAAAAAATAAAAAAAAGAACTCTCCTGGTCTCCTGAGTAAAAACTCTCCTGGTCGGCCTTAGCTTCGCCAAGGTCACTAAATCTGATAACTTCTCGTGACGGCATTCTGAACGTTTTGGGAATACGCATTTTTGATACTACAGAAGCAATTTTTCACGAAGCTTCTAGAAGGGCAAACCTATATAAGCGACCGTGTTTGAGCTGCACAGATCAGTTTAGGTCTGGGCTAATTTAGCGTGCGGTTCAGAGAATAAGCTGAATTTACTTAGTGGGTGATATCGGTAACCTGCTATATTTCTCATGTGTTAAGAAGAATTTGTTTTATATCTACGTCCTCTTTGAGTTATATACAGCTATTTATTTTGTTGTATATTGTTAGTAACTGCAGTAAGTTAGTAATTTCTTCCTGCTCAATTGGCGTAAAAAGAACACCACGAACCTGTAGCACGTAATAATATAGCTATAAAGAAAACAACAGCGATGTTTGCCATTTATGCAGTTCCCTGGATCTTACTGCATGCGCTGTAATAATTTTAACCAGACATAAAAAACATCATATCTGCAGCATTAAGTTATTTTGGATTATGAATCACGTTTCTTACTTCGATTCTGACACTACAGGTATGTGGTAGAGTTTTAATTTAGTTAGCTAGTTTGTTTATTGAAGTCTGAATGTTCTTAAGATAACTACAGAACTGGCATCGCAACCATAGCAGTCAGTTATTTTAAATTACCAGTGCTATTGACAAAGTTTTAGTTTAATTAGCTTCTTACCATTGAAGTCTGAATGTCCTAAGGACAAATCATAAATTTCCATTATTGATACTGACGCTAGTTTTCCTGTCTCTACAAGTTGCGTCGGAAAATTTTAATTGTAATTTTAATTCTATCTATAAGTTCAAATCTAAACCAATATTTGAGCTCGATTTATTTACTTTCATTAGCTAATCTACTTTGGTAATAAATGTCTGAAGTCAGCGATCTCCTGCGTATTGCCTGGTAGTAAGTTAATATAGATAAACTTAATAAAGGCCAAGGTTTTATTTCGATGACGGATAAGAATTCCTTAAAATCTCACGATTTTTTTTTATTTCACCTTTCCATATTATTTATTGAAGCGATTATCATTTATTAATGTGGAATTTTTTTTCTAGTTCCTTGCCGGCCTGGTACTTATAGCAGGAATAATAGCAAAAGATGTGATTTGTGCAACATCGGTTTCTATCAGGAACATTATGGCAAACACGACTGTGATCGATGTGAAGAAGGTAAGACGACAGACAACTTAGGAGCACAGTCTAAAGACGACTGCGTACCAATAGAAGGTAAGACATTACGATTTAGTGAAGATGATTGGATCTTCTTCTGTGTAGATTCTGAGTACACTGCAAGAGGTACAATGAAATTACAGTGTAAGATATCTTGGAGTTTTTGCTTCGAGTTTGAGAATATAAAAAGTTTCAGAAACTATTTACTACAAAAGAACATGACGCAGAGTTATTTTACTCTCACCCTAATTTGTAACTGTAACTTTTAATTGCAAAATAACTTGATCTTAAATAAATTTTGCTCTCAGACAGTTCAAGTCCTTCAAAGGTTTTGAAGCAAGTGCAATTTAATTTATCATATTAAGTAAATATTATTCTTATGATCTGGGACCTTTAGTGTTACTTCTTTTCGTTAGATCTCACCAAGATATAAATGAGTTAACAGTATTTAAATCGGAATTTTTGAAAGTTTTATACTGAGAGCTTCAGGCAGTGACGCTCGACGTTGTACTTTTCTCTCCCCCAGCTCTTCTACATATAGGGTTTGTTCGGGTAGTAGTAGGACTGATTTTTCCCGCCAAAACGTGGCAAAGGAAGGGCATATTTCTGCGCTGGTTGGGTCGTGGGGATCATAGCTACAGGGCACCAGTTGCCAGTCATCTCCAAGCCTTCATGGAATGTATGTAGATCGAGTGTAAGGTGAGCCCCTTTCAAGGTGCCTTGTCAATTCCTCAATGAATCATTTGTTAGAGCAGCGTTACGCAGTGAAATTTTGCGTCAAACTGCGAGTGAGATCCATGACATGATCAAGACTGCTTATGGGAGTGAGGTCAATCAAGTATTTTTGAGTAGCACCAATTGTTTCGGGAGGGAAGAGAGAAAATTGAAAATGACCAACGGCCAGGACGAGCTTCAATGGCAAAAAGTGACCAAAACTTAGTAAAAGTGCGAAATCTTTTGAACTCCGATCGCCTCAGACTCAGAAAACGAGGCGCCCTCATCTGTTCAACAATAGCTGGACCATGGAGGCTGCCATCACGACGATGCGCCGAGCCAAATCGCCTTTGCTTCCATGAACTTCCTGACCAAACATGGCATTACACAACTTCCCCACAGCGCAGATGTCGTTCCTTCAAATTTCTTCCTCTTCCCTCGACTGAAAAGGGTCATAAAAGGAGGGCACCATTGCTTGGTACAGGCCATTCAAGAGGCCGTAACGAGGGAGCTGAAGAGCATTCCAGTTTTTGCGTTCCAGGGAACCTTCAGTGAGTCGCTGGAAACGCTGTGTTATTGCAGAAGGGACATATTTTGAAAACTATTAAATCGATGTGTCAAAACTGTGACTAATTAAAAAAAAATCAGTTCTACTACTTTCCGAACAAACTCTGTAGTTCTTAGTAGTAGAAGTTCTTAGTAGTTCTTAGTAGTCTTAATCGGTAGGTAAGGTTGAGTACATTGAGGTTTAGTACTAGCCGAGGTAAATCGTGCACTTAACATTTGAGCCAAGGCCTAGTTTGTTTACTTAGTTAGGTAGTCTTTAGCATCGAATTAATTTAAAGATTAAGTTCACCTTTTCTCTTGCTGATATCCCGCAAGCAGCGGTGATTGAAACTGTAAGAATAAGTTAAGCATTTTTTTCATTTAAGTGTTTAATGAAAAGGTTGTTTTAATCTTCTTCGGTATAGATTAATTTCATAGACGGACCAATAACTTGCTTCATTGTCTTAGTAGGGCTTCAGAAACTTAAGTTAATTTTATAGGATAACTATACATACATAACTCACTAGTGTCAGCAGCAAACAAGAATTGCACTATATTGAATTCTTGCAATTTGGGGAAAATGCACGAAGCTTAGTTGACTAGCGTTATCCTAGATTTGTTTAACAAGTACATCAGGAGATCGCATCTGAAGGTCTTCAACCTGTTCACCAACTAACCCATAATTTTGGACGGAAAGCTTTTAAGAGGATTAAATTTGCAAAACCATCAATTAGAAACTTCTTGCCTTATCCAGGATCCTCTCCAAACTCAATAGTGATAGGCTGATAACCAGCCCACAAGGGAAGACCTCTAAACATTGAGGTTTATAGGTATGCTCTTTAATCAATTAACCATACTCGCAATTTTTCCCATACTACTTTAGGGATTACTTCTAAAATTAGAAGTGCCAGAACACAATGAAAGGCCGATTGGAAATAAAATAAATAAAATTTCGAAAAAATATAAATAATTGAAATTAAATAAAGAAATTAAAAAAACAAAATTTAAATTAATTATATGTATTTAAAATAATAAATAAAAAATGTTGGTTTTCACCTTACCTGGGCCTGAGATTTAATTCAAAATTCGTTAACTGTTAATTCAATATGTTTAAATGAAATGTAGGAAAATTGTGTATAATTTTATAATCCGTACAATGTAGTCATATGGTGTACCAGATTTTTAAAATAAACTTAGGCAATAATTTATAAACCAATTGTAATGATATATTTTCTTAATCAAGTACGTTTCAGTATCTTATTTATAATAATCTGTGAAATGTTGATATTGAGTTCTTAAGTCTAAAAACATAATTTAGTGGATGTTAAGTAAGTTCTTGCCACATCTAAATACATCATAACATAACAAACATCCTAAATTTTAATTCCACTATATTTATTCAGACTTTTTTCCTTTATCCTAGGTCAAGGACTTTTAAACGATATCAAGAATGGAATTGTGTCTTTATTTACTGGTGGAAATTCGAGGTTGTAAATTAAATAAAAACTGCACTCTGGTGCATAAATTTTATTTGTTCGACTCTTTCATGTCTAGTCAGGTTCCGTCTATAATGCTTATTTCTTAATTTTCACACAGTGTGTATCCGTGTAAATAATCTTATTTGTATCTTAAAAATGCAAATGTAATGTTTTTTAACATAAATCTTAAACATTAGCAAAATAAAGAATTATATTTGCATTTAAAATAAAATTTCTCCAATTTTCGGATTTATAAAACGGAAATTAAGCAACTTCATATTTTCCCAATGTATAAGGTATTCCATAATTTGAGCGTTTGGAAAAAAATCCATATGAACTGGCATAAGCTAAATTCCAGTTAAAAGTTTTATCGGTAGGTAGCATTGTATTGGTAAATTGGCAAATATTTGCAGTTTTAATTCCTTTAAAAGTATGTGTAACTGAGATCTTATGATAGACTTCTACATTATTAGTAGTGTTATATGTTCACAAGTAAAATAAATTACAGCAGAGTAATTTTAATTTTCCTTCTTCTGTCTTTAAAATACATTAAAAGCGTCATCTATTGATGAAAATTTGAATTAAAATATATGCTTATGCCAGAAATATCAGCTTGTGTGATAAGTCTTCGCATGCATTTTGATAGGCTAATTTTCTGATCTGAATTTCTAAAACTGTCCAAATTTATGGAACATATATACAATATCAAAAGTGAGAGAATAAATAAATGGAAAAAATCCGAATTTTAAATGATATAAATTGAATAAAAATAGTAAACAAGAAATTATGGACTGACCTATCAGATTCCAGTCCAAAGTTGCCTTAACAATGGATTTAAGTTTTTAAATTCTAGTACTTTTAAATTCTATCAAGCTCCCTTGAATATTCATAATAATTTTGGTAACTTGTATTTTGAACATCATATTAAGTTTAAATAGATTAAACTGCAATTAAAAAACTAAGTATTTAAAGATTTGATAGTGATTTAAATATATATAACATTTCATGAAAAGCAGTCAATGGGTGAATTTCTAGTTTTAGAAAACTGACGAGATTTTTAACAAACTGTTTCTGTAATATTTTTAAATGTAAAAAACAGTTATATCACAATAATAAAGAATTCAAAAAAGGGCATGCATATAGTTAAATAATACACCCAATATCTATATTATACAAAATTGTAAAAGTTTTGCTATGATAAAAGCACTTATTTTCCTTAAAAAAAAGAATTTATTAAAAATTTGGATAGATCAAATATACAAAAATGTACTTTTCATGACTTGTTGCTCAAGATTAAATTGATATTTTTTTTTTTTTATTAAAAACAGTGAATGTCAAAGCCATACCATGAAAGCAACATTACTGAGCTTGCAATTTCAAGGAAATTTATATTTTATTTTAAATTAAAAGAATAATTATAACACATTTTGAGACCAAAATAGCAACAGCTTTAAAACGGATTTTAAATGGACTAAACACATCTCTATAAAAGTGGTAATCACAGATGGACATTTTATTTCAGTTAAATGAAAGTATACCATTTGTGATCAACAAATTAAAATAACATATACATTTATTTTTATTACTTTGATCAGTTTTTATACAGAACTAATTAATGAATTAGTCTCAACATAAAATTGAACTGTCTTAATACTGTGCAAGCCTTATATACTGGTATGCACTACTTAAGCAACAAATTAATTTTTCAACATTCAACCTTGAAAAGTGCATTTTGCAATCAGTACAAGTCAACGCGGCAGAAAGGTAATGTGCATGCAAATATCAACACCATGATGTCCGAGAGTATACGTCAGGACATGCAAAACGCAACAAGTCGGTGCACGCTGGGCAAGGATGTCACATTCCCAGGCATTCCTCTAAGTTAAAGTGAGATTGTATGTGCAGTACAACTGCAAGAAACATCAGGATGGCTTTACACATAGTAGAATGATTTGCAATTGATATGAAGAGCACAGTTTCACTTCTGTTGCCCAAGAATTTGGAATTGATACAAGCTTAGAAAGCCTTTTAAATAACAGGTATGGTTGTAAGAAAGGTTAGTGGTGGTTAGCAAAGGAAAACAACAGTGATTAATGCAGATATATCACCCTACAGGTGAAAAGAGATCAAAACCAGACAGCAGGCAATACTGCTCAGCAACTGGTGTCCTGGTTTACTATGATCAGATGACTTCATAAGTTTGCCTGCTCACCCACCATCTTGAACAATGCATATCAACACTGACAGCAGGCCATTGGCAGCACTGTAGAGAACACAAAGTCTGCATACATCAAATCAATAAAGTCACATCCTTTTTATTGATGAGAATTGTTTCAGCTGATAAGCAAGTCTTGCTGCCAAATAATATTGAGAGATAGAAGACATAGATTTTTCACCTCTCAAAAAGAAAAAAGAGATCATAGGGATGGGACTGGCGTATGTGTATGGGAAAGCATTAAAATGGCATATGGACAGAGGTCTACATTTTCGACTCAGGTTCATTTACCAGAGATCGTTACAGTGGTGATAGTATCCCCCCCATGTGCCACTGGTCCTTTCTTTTTATGGATAACAATATAAGGCTACACAGAACTCTTGCTGTTGAGAAGCTTCTGGAAAGTGAAAATAACCACAGAATGGATAGGTCTATATGCTCCTGATTTGATTCCCATTGAACATGTGTAGGATACTTACTCTCTGGAGGACACTAGGCAACTGAAACATATGCTTCTTGAAGAACAGGAAATCTTACCCCAAGAACTGTTAACACATTGAAATAAGGCACATTTTTTTAAAAACTCTGTTTGTAACTACTACTAAACTGACAAAAAAGAATGGACAAAATCAGCATGTAGAATAATGTATACCACCAGATGAAACACTCAGGTTTGATACATCTAAATACTTTAATGACAACAAGGAAGGATTCAATGAACTTACATCTACTACTGCACTAAATTTTACGTGCAATGATAAATCTGATAATTTAAAATTTTGAAATATTGTGTTCTGAAGAATCTAAAAATAAATGAGACAAACCAATCATAAATTATACTCATGTTTATTCGTACACCATTCTTAAAATACAAAACAGTAAACAGTACAAACACGAGTATAACGGACCTTAATGGGTTCTATGTTAGGTCTTTTGCTTGCTACATAAAGCTACTGTTTTATACAGCAAATAACTGATTTATGAGATTTAACATAAATTAAATGATTTTTATTGAATTTAAAACACTATAATCTCCTGCATCACTTGGTGGCTTCTTCTAAATATGCAATAATATCTGCACGTTCTTGCTTCTTTTTAAGGCCAGCAAACACCATCTTAGTTCCAGGAATGTATTTTTTGGGATTTTCCAGATAAATAAATAAAGTGTCTTTGCCCCAAGTAATACCTAAAAATAACAAAAAATATTTTAAAGAAAATTAGTTTCAGAATTTTGTTTTCAAAACATAATTTACCATGTCTGATTTTGAGTTTGAAAAAATAGGGATCAAAATTAAACAATTAATATACATAATGATTCAAAAACAGAAGATATTTTGTACATTTAGTTACAGATCTAGTCCCAGCAACAGCATATATAACAGAAGAAATACCAAACTCATAGCGATATGACAAGTGGTTCACAATACATTTGGAAAGATTTACTTTTTTATTTAAATGTATAAACTGTCCTGCAGCAATGAAGTCTTTTGACATATTTATTACAATTAAGTGTCTAGGTTAATATTTTATTCCAACAGGATACAAGTTGCAAATTATTAGTCTCAAATTCTAAAAGTATGAGCATAAATCTCTATTTACAGTGATTAATTTGCACTAGTGATTATGATTTTCCAATATATTTCACCAATGCATGCGTCATGAGAATCTACAAGTTTTTACAACTTCATTACAGCAAAGGCTTTAAGAAGTCTATACCATTATTGCAGAAGCTTCAATTACTTTCATGCAGTGCAAACACAATAGATGCATAAAACATTTCATGCATTTTAAGCCAATGGCTGCAGGTCACATTCAAAGACATTTAGGGTCATTGGTTACAGAGTAACAAATGCAGAAAGAAGGAATTTAGAAAGCGAACAAGGAGCTGAAAGAGGAGCAAATCCACGCATACACAATATCTTTGACATCACACCTTGTCTCCCCCCATATAGGTATGTTTTGTGTGTCACACTTCTACCTCAAGATCAGTAAGAGACAACATGTATTAAAAAAACTATCGAAACCTCTGTAACCGTAACATTACAGGTAAGAATTACTGTCCACACATGTATCATTTGACGTGATTCACAGACAGTAAAGCCAGAGATGTTTGCAATACAAGTCACTCTTATTTATAAATTCTTTTTTAAAGTATTTAAATCAAGATCGTGCAACTAAAAATATTTAATGCTTCTATGTTAAAGCAGCTATTTCATTAATTCAATAAATTTCATTTATTGCTTAAAAGCACTTTTCTCAGTAAAGGCTAAAGATTAAAATTCGGGACATGGGATGAAAACTGGAAGAGTTAGCAGCCATGCAACAGTTAAAATACTTCTTTCCTGCCCTATTGTTGATCCAGTGTGCATAGCAATTAGGTTTCACTTGTCAAAAATTGGAGAATTACATAAAACCAGGATTTGTTCAACTATAGCATTGCACACAGGTCAAAATAGCTATACATATTCTACTTGTATATCTGGATTTCCAGACAAATATTTTTCAGAGACATTCTGCTTTGTATATAGAATACTTTCTCGCAACTTTTTGATAGAGGTGAGAGTAATCAGAAAATATTCATAAAATTTTACAAAATGAATAAAATCTGCAGCCAAACATATATTTACCTTTGCTTTTGTTGGCTTCTGTATATGAAAAACCTGGAGCCTGACCAGTTTTACGACCTATGAGGCCATTGAGATTAGGTCCAACCTTGTGTTTACCACCTTTCTCTACTGTGTGACACTGAGCACATTTCTGCACAAATAATTTCTTGCCCTTCTCAGGATCACCAGGTGGAATTTCTTCACCAGCCATTGCTAAAATGAAATAGTTTAAAATTTGTAAAAGTATATTTAACAGATATAAAAAATATAATTATTCTTACACCACAATTCGAATTTCTCTCGCTGATAAGTAAAGCTTTTCTAGTTTAATATCTCACTATCATTTACTTATACAAAGTGTATCATATTGAATGGAATAAAAAGAATGATACAGTGCAAATTTTGTAATTGATTTATTATGCAAAAACAAATTAATTCTGACAGTGGAAAATCTTCTGGTTATGAAATTATTGCTAGAGACGCTATTTATAAAAATGGCACCAACCGTGCAGAACCCATGCATGTATCATCTAACATTTTGCACTCCACAGAACATTGTTTCTCATGGAAGAACGAGACAATGTCGTCTTTCATCTGTCAACTCGCTTGAAAATACATCCTGCACTAAGCCACCTTACTTTCGTCTAATACAGTACATCAGAGTATTCAGATTGCACGGACTGAAGATAATCTTGAAATTGCCTGCGAGTACACCCACAAGATCAATAGTATTTACAAGCTTATTATTACAAGCAAGATATCGCCGTTTCTGTGTATGAAATATCAGTTTTATTCCGGGTTAAATAGTGAACACAGACCTCGCACAGTCATCAAGAAGTTACAGAACAAATGCTTCAGCATTTCATAACTCATTCTATTTAGACCCAGACTAGATCTATGGGTCTGAAACGAAGCTCTTTTTAGCTCAAGCATTATAAAATCACTATTATGGATTTTGCTCAGAGTGTAGCTTGACAGAAAGAAATGCTGGTGGGTAATTGCTGCCATAAAAAATGGCAACAAATGACTCATCAACTGTGTTCACAATTTCTTCGGTGGTGCTAATCACTCAGCCATCTTTTTCTAGAAAGAGAAGCAAGTGCTCTTTGTATATTCCACATTCTTTTTTAACCCCTTTCCAAAATTCTTTTACTTGACATTGATAATGTCATTCCAGACTTGCAGAATAGCGACGAACTTCTCTTTTACTTGCATTTGCTCTGGCCTTTTTCAGTGCTACAAGATTTAACAAAAGGGGGCATCTATGAAAAATCCTACATGTTTCTTTCAGCACACCTTGGCAAGCACGATTCCAAAATGGTTTGTAATATTTTGGCAATTTACCTCATTTTATAGGTATAGAGAGTGTAGCTGTTTAAATAATAATGGCTTTCACTGCAGCACTAATAACCAGATCTCTTACCAGTTCCTTCCAGTCTGCTCTATCAAGTAGAAAACGAGATCTTGACTAAGGCTCATACACGATGCAAAAATGGAAAATGACTGCCATGATAAGTATCATACTTAACACAAGATGTACAAAACAGCAAAGGAGATGTTAAACAGATGGCAAGGTAAAGAGCATAAAATGTCCTTATAGAATCAAGAAAGTATGTGTTCTGCCCATTACTAAGCAGACAGAGGCAGCAAACTTCGATCATCTGCTCAATTTGCATCCTTACTTTCATAGTAAGATCATAATCCGCAGAAGAGCAGATTATGCCCGTTAAGTTTCCTATAATGAGAAAAGGTTCAAGCAGCTGCTCTACAAGATCAAATTCAGGCTGATCAATGTGATTATTTGAAGACAGAGATCAGATTGAACTACAGTATACAAATTTGTGTGTATAACAACTTGGATGAACATCATCAAAGGAAGTGCACTCGACAAATAGTAAAGAGAGGTGAGCAGACCTCCATCTCCACTGGCACACTCACCTGCCAATGCCATATTATCTTTCACGGTTAAAGAATACCTCCAAAGTTTTGCTTGATGTTTTGATTTCAGGTTTGTTTCCTGTACTGTTCCTGTGTTTGGTCGTGGGGTGTATGCTTTGAAGTAGCCATCTGTGTACAAGATGTTCCTAGTAATTTTTGCAGCTTGGGCTTCCTTTTCTAATTTTCATTTTGGACAAAAGTGGGAAAATGCTGTATGCTGAACCTTGCAATTTACACACAGTAGTGCAGTTTTCACTACCACGGCTAGCATTTACTACATATAGCCCATGTCAGATAGAATGATCAAAACAATGACACTTGCATCAGGTATGGAATATAAGGTCTTACATGACGATTTAAGTATTCAGATTTGTCTTTTGCAGATCAAGCGAGTTGAAGGTCATTATCATGTATTTTGTATCAATCAACTGATCTTTCTTACACAACTTGATACACCAAGCAGCACACACATCTTAGTTGGCAAGCTTGGAAACACTCTTCATCAGACACAAACAGAAGGTCGATTTCTGAGAATACACCTCAGGAAAAGTTCAAGGTTTTATGCATCGAAACATACATCAGGCTGCCCAAGATTGGATATTTGAAGTAGATAAAGCAGAGTGGATGGCCGAAATCTTATCCATTAGCAAATTTTCGGAACAGAGGTTTACATTTTTTGGCTCACTAGAAGGACTAGATATTACAAGGAAAACGGGATTATTATTAGATTCACTGACATTATTAATGGTGCATATCTTCTTGATAGTAGATATATTATCAGATTCAGTATCTGGTTTCTGAATTTCATTATTCTGTAGTTATTGTCATAACTTTAAGATTTGCGGAAACCATGCCTGAAAGAAAGAAAATTCGGGTCCGACTACACAACCCACATGCAAACTGAAGCTCCATATTCGCCTTTTGTGAAAGCAGGTGCTCGCAAAAGTTTATCCCCAAGCTGCCGACATGACCTGCTAAAGCACTGTTGGCAGTCAAAAGACCAGCAAACTGACATCCATAAGGACAAAATCTACTTCCCCATTTAACTGAAGAAAGAGGCCAAAGCAGTGTGTTAGGGATAATACCTTGCCCCTCAACAAAAGACCTCCCTTTCAAATAACATGGGTCTTCATGCATGGCAAACATATGGGCAGTTTTCTCGCCATTCAAAGCTAGTGACAAGAGCTGTGTAAACACTGGATGAGAAAAATATTGTTCACTGTATGTTAATAAAATAACCAAGATAATAAACTCAACTCTATATTTTTTTAGTTTTTCCTTGTAAAAATTTTTATAATTACGCTTAAAAAAAAGTTCAACATGGCCAGGGTGCCAGAAATCATGTTGTGCAGATTCCGGATCTTCTACCATATTTTTTTTTATTTATGTATTCTGGAATATTACATCAATATAAAGATGGTGACAGTATACAATATGATATAAAAACACACTTCCCAAAATTCTGAGTGTTCAAATGAATTTATTCAACAGAATCAAGCATTTATAATCATTAAATGAAAGTAAAATGGGTTTCTCCGATGCTTCATCAGCTATAAAAAGGGAAGTCTGGAAAGAACAGTTTTTTTAGTCCAAAGGGGCTTTGTCCCTGAAGGACTATTGTTTTCGTTTTGCGATTTTGCGGCGGACTCATAAACGTCGGTTCACTTTTCAAACTGTTGCCACAAAATCCTGCATTATATTTGAAGAAATTAAATAATGAAAAATCTGCATAAATGATTGTCTATTTCTCGCATTGTGATAAAACAATGGTACATAGAGCCATCGAATTTTGAATGACGAAATCCTACTGCGAATATGGGCATCTGAAATCCCAAATTTGGAATTTGTTTTATTATAGATTTTATATTTTGTAAAACTTTTAACGAATTTTGATTTACAACTCAATTGCTCTAAAAGCGAGAAATGGCAACGTTATATAGAAAACAATACTTTTATCTCCAGCTCGCGGGACTGTGTATATCGGAAATTCTAAAGATATGCTTAATTTAACATTATTTTGCGATATTGCTCTTGAACTGAATTTTATGGTTTAAGTGCAAAGAACAGATATTTAATAAATAAAGGTAACACTCAAAAACGTTAAAAAAATGCCCCTTTGGACGTAATTTAAAATCTGAAACATTTCAGATTTTTTAGTCCAAAGGGATTTGAATCCCGAAGGACTATTAGTTTTCGTTTTGGCATTTTGCGTCGGACCTCATAAATGTCGGTTCACTTTTCAAACTGTTGCTACAAAATGTTAGAGTCCTGCATTATATTTGAAGAAATTAAATAATGAAAAAATCTGCATAAATGTATGTATATTTCTCGTATTGTGATAAAACAACGGTACATAGAGTCATCGAATTTTGAATAACGTAATCCTCCAACGAATATGAGCATGTGGAAGACCAAATTTGAAATTTTTTTTTTTACCCCTAGTAAAATTTCTTTTCCTTCCTTATAAAATACTTCTTTTTATTATTACTTACGGACCAAATAGTAATGTATTCTCCATAAAGATAAACATTTTTTACCAACTCATGAAATTGCCAACCAGTAGGGACTTTTTGTAGAAATGTGGATAATAGAAAAGTAACATTAAATGTTCTTGCATGCATCTTTTTTATCCATTTAAATTATACCCAACTCTCAGTACAACAATAGCACACCAAGTTTCAGCAGGCAGTTTAATAAATAAGTCATTAAACATACAGTTGAATTGTACACAATATGACATTTAAATAAATTTTTTGGTCTTGGAGTAAAATGTTCCAATCAGGAATCTATTCTTCAAAATGGCTCTAAGAGATTTCAATGAAGATTTTTTGGTATTTCTGATGTCTAAATCTCATAAATTTGCATCAAGTTCTATTCTCAGTGGCAAATGAGGCTGAGCGTATATAGTCTTCTGGAACACAATAAGAATATGGAATAGTTCCCCTCAGACCTGCTAAGGCACTATCTCAATAAACACATCCCCCCCAACAAATACTATGCTTATTAGTTATTTATTTGTCTGATCTTTTTTAGAATATGAGAAAAAGGCAATACAAGTGAAAGTAAAATGAATAGGAATTTTTAATCAACAGAAAATTAAAAACTTTTTTCAGATTCTAGTATATTCACATTTGGCATTAACCAGAAATCCCCTATGCTTTTTTTAATAACCACTCTTTGAAAGTAAAGTGGCAAAATTGAAATTTTCATATAAATATATTATCAAGCAAAACAGTTAGCTAAACGCTTCCTTTAAAGATTTCCTATGCAAGCACTTTAAAAGTAAAAATTTGTTTGCATTGAAGTACTAATCCTTGCAAAGCAGATAAGCCTGAATAGATTTGCCATAATGAAATAAATGAAAGAATTTTACGTTTAACACATAATTAGCACAAAGTTTAAGCAGAATACTTTCAGTTGCATTACTTACAGCCAATGATGCTGCTGCTCAAATGATGTATTTTTTTTCCTTTAAGATAACTACTACATTGTATATCACTCTCAACTCAAACTTATAAATTTAATTTCTGATGTTTGTTTCCAAAAGTTTTCTTCTTAATTCAGCATAAAGCTTCAGAAGGAAATTTATATGTACTGAAAAGTTATTAACAACCATGATCTACTTCATTATTAAAGCTTTCATATTATTTGTTTTGACAGAAATTGTGCATTTGACATCATCAAGCGGTACAAATACAATTAACAATACAACAGATGCTTTGAACAAAAATAAATGCAACAGTATTAACAATTATAAGCAGAGGAAATTCTGATTACCTAATTTTTTTTTCATATTTATGGCCTAAAGATATTTTTTAATAAATTATAAACAAAATTTTAGAATTTATTAAGACTATCAGTAACAGATAATTAAAGTCGCAACTAGCTTACATGTTGCATTATAAACAACCAGCTTGACCAAGTAAAACTTCATTACGGTCAAGGCCATTCATACATTTTTCTCTTTTTATTGGGCAATATTTCTTAGATACTGATGTGATACTTATTCCATTTTAGTAAAAAAAACAGACTTTCCCTAAGTTACTTACACCAGGAAAAAATGCCTTTATAGATAACTACATTATTTTACAGATAGGTGATGAGACATTATCTTACCAATTATTAATCATTTAGAGCTGAAAACATAATTCCACTTTCTACCATTAAAAGAGATATGCAAAACCAAGAGAATGAATATACCTTTAAGTATCTTTTAAGACATTTAAAATAAACTTGTATCATTTCAATGCATTTGTACTTCATGATATATAATGTTATTACCAAAATATTTTGTGCACTCATTTCTCACATAATTTATAACAAAAATTTTTAATCCCAAGTAATCTCTTTTAATTATAAAATTCACAATGGAGGGAAACTATTCAAGTTTTTCTTTTTACTAATTTGATAAAATATTTCCAGCTGCAATTATCGCCGGTTTCGAAAATAGCATTTCACAGAAACAATATGAAAAAAAAAAAAAAAAAAAAAAAAAAACTATCCATTATAATTAATTAGAACCTCAAATTTCTCAAAAAGCACTTTACCGGTTAATAACGAAAAACACGTGGTCTGTTGCTTAATGCATATTTAAATATCCTCAAAACAAATGTAAAATTCGAGAATAAAAACGATTAGTAAATCAATTAAGTTAAATTTCTGCTAATCATTTATGTTAAATCATTTAAGATCACTGCTAATCATTTAAGTTAAGAATCACTGCTAATAATTTAAGTTAATTTTGGTACATTTTGCATGCAACATCTAGATGTACTACTTTCACAATGAACAGTTGGGATAATTATACCCTACATAAAGTCTTATCTCTCAAACAATTAAAGCTTCTTTCGGTTTAATTATGAAGATTTACATCATTTCTAACACCTACCTAACAAAAATTTTTTTAAATTACCAAATGCAACTTCTAATTGGAATACTTCGGCGAAGGAGACACCTAGGACCGTTCACAAATTTATCCGCAAAGGACGAAAAGATCAAAAAATACACACGCATGCGCTTACCATTTGTTATTGCCAATTCGTAGAAAATTAAAGATAACGGCAGAAAAATATAACATATCAAATTTCTCAAATTTTGCTTAAAATTATTAATACCTGAAGAAAATATCTTTCTAACAATTATATGCAAAAAAAAAAAAAAATTAATATTTTGATGCAAACTCTTGATGAGCATTGTTTCATCATTTCTAAATTATTTATTGATTGGAAATTTATTCATTGACAATAAAAGAATGATATTTTTATTGTTATTTCCAAGCAGATAGAAGATATTCAGAGCAATTTTCTTAATTAAAAAATAACGATTTAAAAAATGTATAGGAAAAATTAGTATACGATTTGAAGTGAAGTCAAGTGAATTCATTGTGAAAGGAGAAATTTGTTAAGACATTTGAAACTTGTTATTTAGCTTAATAAGGTGAATATATTTTTATAATGTATTGCAATGTAGCTAATGAGAATAAGTTATTGAAATAAAAAAAAACTATGTATTAAATCAATATAAGAATGCATTTAGTTTAGTAGAGTATTTTGACGTATTCGTGATGAGCAGTCGTGGCCGAGTGGTTAAGGCGATGGACTCGAAATCCATTGGGGTTTCCCCGCACAGGTTCGAATCCTGTCGACTGCGATATTTGAAATTTTGGCTTGTATTTGTATGTCTTTTGGCATTTCATATCAGTACAAGTAATTGAAAACTAGAGATATTCAAGAAGGTTTAAAAATATAAGAAAAATTTTGTTTTGTTCGTATTTTAAGCAAATTACATCTGAATGTAAAAATCCTCAACTTGATACAGAGAATGATGTTCTTGATAATAAGCACGCAAAAAATTTAAACAAAATATTTAATTTTTCAGGTTGCCAACTGTTTAATATCAACATCATTATTATTATAATATTCTCTCACTCACGTTAAGCATTCTCAGAGGCTTTCTGGCTTTAATATAACAACAAAAATATAATTAGGCTAGGAAATTCGAAAAATTCATTGTAATCAGATTTCATATTTCTGTTTGACTTGTGCTGCCATCTAGTAGTGGATACAAATAAAAGGAGGAAAATTTCAAAACATAGTTGCAGCATGCTGTGTTTAAATAATCCAACTCTAATTCTGGGTACTGAATGAAAAAAGTTTTTTTTTTTTTAAAGGTACATTTATCAATTTTCACTGTTAAAAAGCCTCTTAAATTCATTAGCAATGCAAACATTCATAAAAAAGTAGTAAAATATATAACATCTTAAAAAGGTAAAATGCATTAAAGATTAAATTTTTTATTACGATTACCATATTGTAGGAAAAATTCATTTTAATTTAAAAAACTCGTCACGTTGTAAGGTGCAAAAACTTGCTATCCGTAGGCTAAGTAAGGATTGAATAGTGTGAAATCTGAAATTCAGACGTGAGAATGTATTTTTTTAATACATGTGTAGTATAATGTATCTATTTTAGAACTGAAGCAGTGCATATACTTTAAACCATCAAATTAGGTAATTAAATAAAAATGTATTAATGCAATTATTTTTTTGAAATGTTTGTCTGCCCCTGCCAAATTTTTCTGTATGTTAAAACCATTTTCTACATGCGAAGCAAAAGTTGATATAAAGAAATGATAATATAAAGTGTTCCATCTACAGAATATCAAAAGATACAGGATGCAAAGTTATGCTAATGAAACTGCTGACAAACATCCTGAAATTATCTAATCACCATTCCAGCAAAAATGCACTACAAAGGTTTCATTGGATTTTCCCCCCACATTCTTCTGAAAATTAATATTTTTCCCCTTGAACTTTTATACATAGGCATTTAAAAATCCCACACTTTTTCAAACCAGTTTGCAGCCTTGAACATAATTATGAATCCAGAGTTGTTCAAACTAATCCTGGACATCTGGTAACCCTACTTCAAATGCATAATCATATAAAATAAAAATGTTATTGAACACTAAATTTAGAAAATAATTATTACTAAATGTATGCTATATCAATTCATATTCCCATTTTAAAACTGAAACTAACTGGTTTACTCAAAATTTTCATGTTGCATCTGTACAACTGTTTATATCTGACACAAACAAATTATATTGTATTAAATTATTTAAAATTTTTTGTTAAAATGATATTTTAATTAATTTTTATTTAAAAATATATTAAATTATATTGTTAAAGTGTAACAATTCTGTGTATAATAATATTAATAAACAATTTGATTTCTACAAGAAGCTAAATGTTGCTTTGTGTTTAGTAAAATGTGAGGGATGGAAATTTATGGCCAAGTAAAGTCTTGAATGTGAATAACTGATGTAATAAGAAACAAATAACAGACACTGTTTTTAATAAATAGTAAACTTCATTGAAAAAGATCAGGTAAAATGTGAGAGCAGTGTAAAAATTAATATCAGAAGTTGAAATGGTTGCAAAACTTAATGTAGAAAATTTTACATCTCAAATATACGTAATAAATAATTTTCTTTTAAAACTCATAGATAGTGAAGTAATTAGGATACATCAATATTTACGAAAAACTTCTAGTGGGTTACATAATAATGTCTACTAAAAAGTTACCAAAACTTCAGGAATGTAATAGTTCATGATATTCAAAATGGTATTAAATTATTCATCGATACTCAGCAGTAAGTATTCACCCTGTCTGAATTCAGTTCAGTTTTACATTCATGTAAACAAGAACTGATGATAATAATAAAATTGTTTTATTATTGTCATATGCGAGTTGAACAATCTCAGCATCCTTAAAAATATAGCAATGGCTTTTACTTACCACTTTTCCTCTTCATACTTGAGCAAGATGGTATTTTTAGGCATTAAATAATAAAGTATACAAAAGACACTAGCAAGTGAAATAACCTAAATAAGCACTGTTTAATTAGGTTCGAAGTGCACAAAATAGCTATTTTCAATTTTGCTCTTGGGTTAGTCTATGAGTTAAGAAAGCTGGCTGCCATACCATTTGGCCTGGGAATCCCTGTGATGTTAAAAGGTATGGATATTTATAAACATATAATGTCTTTGGGATATGAGTTTTTAAAATCTCTCTTTTCAGTTAAGCTTCAATGTAGGAAAAGTCTCCTGTATTCATTTACAATTTCATGCACAATAACAGTGAATATAAAAGCAGGCAAATATTTTAGTGCAAAAATTGAGAAATTCTTTTAAATCTTTTATGGTAAACACGATTAAAAAAATCTACATTATATTAAAATAGGGCAGTCTGCTGCTTTTTTTAATCATAAAAAATAGGGGAAAAATTTTAATGAATGTGTATTTCAAATTCACATTTCTGTTTCCTAATTATGGCATTCAGAAATTCAAATTACCACACCAAATGAATAAATATTTAGCAATATTCAATTTCTAGATGACTTATTTCTTTTGATTCTTTACACCAGGGTTTCTTAAACATTTTTCAGTCGTGACCCCCTTTTATCATAGAGATTTTTTTGCGACCTTCCCCCAGGACTCCATAATATTTACAAAAATGTTATGGGACCCGTAAGTATTGCACAAATCCGACACACGCATGAGTGAAACTTAATTTTTTCACTTGTACTGTAATATACTATTGCAGTTTTAGGTCATTAACTTTAATTTTCTAATTTTAAGACATAGAACAATACGACAATTTTAAATAAGTAACAGACAAATGACAGCAACACCTGCAAAGCAAGAAAAATGAACGTATATATTACAAAAAGAATGCGTCAAAACGTTTTTGTTTTTTTTCTTTGTCTGTATTGTCTTATTTTTATCTATTTTCAGATACACTGTGTAAAAATATTTGATAATTGTAACATTATTATAATAAGTTAAAGAAATATAAAACTACTAAAATTTTTGACAACCCCCTACTCACGACCCCCAGTTTAAGAAACACTGCTTTACAACAATATTGTAATTTTTAGCTCATACCAAAATTAACAACAAATATATAATCTGAAATCAGCACTGAATTTTACGTTCTCTTCGACATAAAGAGCACAGATCCAGCTCACACCAAAATTAGCAGCAAATAAATAACCTAAATTCAGCCCTGCATATTACATTCTCATAGACATAAAGAACCATACACAAATCCAGAAACAAATTCATAAATCGCTTTTAATTTTAAACTAATAAGGGTGCATATAATTCCTTTAATGAAACTCTAAACACTCACATTTGCTATGCAAAATCCATTCTCTTAGTTTATGTAAACCTTACATAGGCATATTAACCTATACCTGCCAGTACATCACCAAGCACTTTACCTTTGACTTAATTCTTATGAGCAGTCAACAATCTTAAAAGCTGTTACAATTCTTCTAAAAAGATGTCTCCTTCTTTGTTTTAAATTTTAATAATGCTCTTTTTCGATAAGGGAAGGTAGGAGATGCCTTTTTTTATATCCTTGGCAAATTCAAATTAGAGCAAGCATCATTTCTTTGATAATCATTCCTCCTGGAAAATTCTTGAGACGTCTGTTTATATTAATTTTTTATTGCATTTTCCATCAGATCATGATTTTGATAGATCTGCTTAGAAAGGGAGCAGAAGCATTCCATTATTTCTAGCAAATGATTATTATGGCAAAAAATCAAGTATATTGCACTGCTTCCTCAATCGAAGTGTACATGAAGGAAGATATGCAATGGAAATGTATCATCAATAATAGCCAACAAATTTACAGACTATGAATTAGGAACTGTTTCCACAGAAATCACCTGCCTTCTTATTTAGCACAGCTCGTATGAAGGCAGAGAAAAGTTGTGAAGAATAATAAATAATCCAACACAATTTTAAACATGATTGCTAAATATATGACAGAAGAAAAAAAAAAATTTAATCGATTCACTGACATCGAAAATATATTTCATCGTCAAATGGCATCAATAGAATGTTCATAGGTGCCATTTAATACACAAATACTGGGGGGGGGAGATATCCCATTGTTTGTGCCCTTTCATTCAAAAGCCAGAGATTATGAATAATTACGATAGCAAGTCCTTTTCAGAGTCAAAGGATATTCAACAGATTCAGTACCAAGATATACAAAGTATAATATATACACTGTGACACATAAAGTGTTTTAAAATTTAAGAGGTGATACATGCTGTTTTTATTGTGCAAAGATAAGTGATTATATTACCTTTCTCCTGATTCATATACTGATCCACTTCCTATTCTGTCACTAATGATGATGCACAAATCATAAACCTGACGATTTAATTATGAATATTGAAAAGAGTGCAACATGTCTTTCTAGATAAAAATAAGTGTGTGTGTGTGATTATGGCAAAGCCTCAAGGGCTATCTGCCTAAGAGGAGGGATGCCTTCGTGGAGGACTTTCTAAGGGAAACTGGCTCGTATACACGCTACACATGGGGAAAACCACGAAAACGCCCTGCAGCCAGCCCGTTCGTGGGATTCAAACCTCGGACCGAACTACCAGTTTCAGTGACTTTACCGCTCGGCCGCTGGGGGGCAGATAAAAATAAGATCATTGGAGATATAGATATATATCATGTTAAGTATAATGCCTCTGGGGGAAATGACAAGGAGTAAAGAAAAAAGATCATCTCTTAGCCATTTAACTGAATACTTGAGAATTCCAGTATTACTATGAATTGCAAGTATCAAATGTAAAGTCATTATGTGAGAATCAAAGCCATACTGCAACTCCACAGCACATATGAATAAAACGCAAAAAGAAAATAAATGTAAAACTAATGCTGGTGCATGTGTAAACCACTACTTTCATATGCATATAATAAAATAGCCTGTATGTGTTTGCACTGCAAAAGACATGCATGTAGGGAAATGGAAAGCAACTTCCAATGCTTAACTGCATATATGCATTCTGTGATGACACTTGTCATCACAGACACTGCAGCAAAATTTTGCTGTTTTTGCAAAAGTTGGATTGTTGTTGATTCCACGTAACTCGATATGTGATTTATATGAACAAAAAAGTTGTATTGTAAAAAAAGGGGGAATTCTTTAGCTACAAAAAGAGAGATAAGTGAGCCAAGATGGTGCTACTGTCAAAACATGTTTTTCCCCTTTTCAAGTATCGTTTCAACATGATTCAAGAACTTCTCTCATCAAAGTTGTGAAAGTAAGTTAATTATTTGGTACAAGCTGAAGCTATGATAATTTAATTTTAAATTTTCATTTTTCTTATTTACATTCTGAATCGTGTGCTTATTTACCATAAATGAGTTCTCTTTCTTAAATAACGTATACTTGTGAATCATTGTTTGCAATTGTGTAAATATTAATAGTTATGTTACAAATCAGAATCAAAATAGTATATAATTTGAGTTTTGATTATTTTTATATGTAGTTAATATGAAGTGTGTATTTTTGGGTTGGTATTTTTGAAACATAATAATAAGAGTTACTGATGAAATATTTATTCTAAAGTGCAGCCATCACCAGTTTCAATATTTCTCAAATGGCCTTCACAGATTTAAGTTGTGCACTTCTGCCTTAATACTTTAAGTTAAAAAAAAGATGCAAATTTTAAAATAAAGACACTATTAAATAAAAAAAAAATAACACTTAACCCTTTGAAAACACTCATATACATGCCATGAAAGTATGAAACAAGTATGAACTCACTAAGTATCTCTATGTGGCTAAAACATAAAAAAACCTACTTGATTTTTTATGCTTCTTGAGAATCTGAATTGTTTTTTGGCATAATATTTATAAGAGTAATAATGATAATATATTTTAATGCAAGTAACACATATTTCTAATGGAGGAAAACATTTATACTTATTATTTCAATACATAGAAGTAAAATTATTTGAATATATGTTAAAATAATTTTATTCAGAAACAATGAATTAATTTAACAAAACTAAAAATACAACTGAAAGCTTTCCTTTTCAAAACTGAAAGTATAAGCTTTTTATTGATGGCGAAAGTATAAACCGAAAAATAATCAAATTTGGTAACAAAGCTTTATATGATAAATGGATAGTTTTATTCACACAGAAAATTAATTCTTTGTAAATATTTAAATATTCTTAAACATTTATTCTTTTCTTTTTAATTTGAGAAATCAAAGCATCTCTATAAATCTACATTTATCTCACTGAAACACTGAACACGCTTGTAGACAATTCATATAAAAGTCTATTATCATCTTGAATAATGATTTAAATGATTATAGGATTTTAAATAGTAAATAAATGAGTGAAATATTTTTTGTTTTCATTATAATCCTCTCTCACAAGAGCCAATATGAAGAATGCTGTTTGGTTAAGAGAAGAAAAGAATTATGCTGATGATTAATATGTGTTAATAAAAATACATTACATAGCAGATAAAATATAGGCTAGTAATGAGTTGGTTAATACATTGATTTCAATAAATATCAATCTGACACATGTATTTTAAAATTTATGCATATTTATACTTAATAGGGTACAAATCACAAGTAACATCTTGATTTTGAAGTATAGAAAATTACCATTTATGTCTAAAAGCAGCTTTGTTAACTAACTGCAGAATGTGCGACAAAAAGAAATCATTACTTCTACAAATTTAACTTGCACAAAAATTACCATTAACAGGTTAATAATGAAATTTTATTTAAAAATAAAAAAAAAAGTATTTTTATTTTGTTTACAAAATTGATGAAATGCTTGTTACCAAATGCATCATTACAAATATTCAAGACGCAGTTAATTTTTCAGAAATATTTTTTAAGTATAGGATATAAAGAACATGATGTAGTAAAATAACGTCTATATAATAAATCTTCTCACATCTTTCACACAAAATCTAGAAAACTCTAAAATATCAACCATACGTTATCATGCACAATCCATATTCATAAAAAATGCAAGGTATATATATACATAACCTTAAAAATTCATAAATTCTAACATGATAAATAAGTTATGTGAGCAAAATCCTTTAGCATAGTTTCAACAGCTTTATTACATTTTTTGTTTTTATAACAATAAATTATTCACTTAGATTCAATATTAAAGTTTAAATGATCAGATCTTGATTTAAAATTAAAAAACAAATTTTTTGTTTTTTTCATTTCTATGAGTAAGAAATTCTAGCTTATTTCGTGTTATATACAAAACTGTGATAGTGCTACATTGAAAATAATTATATGGACTAGAGATTCTATAAGTTAGCTGTCTTCTTCATTAACAAAATTATCTGGCTTCAAATAACAGATGCAATAATATTTTGTCATTAAAAAAGGTTAGAATTTAACTAGATAAAAATGCATAACTTATATCTTAATACATCAAAACTGAAGGGGATCAAACTTTCAAACTATTGCATTTATAAACATATTTTTATTAAATACAGAAAGGATCAGAATTGCTGGTTTTTACATGAAGTTATATTTTAGGAGTTAAATATTTTTTTTTTTACAAATTTTACATAATAGTGTTTTACATTATTCAAATATATAATAATTCATTACTTTTCTTTTTTTTTTTCTATCAATACAATATTTTAAAACTTAAAATACTCATTTGTTACAGGATAACTCACACTGTTTTAAAATACAATTTTTTATCAGTTTCTGTTCACAAACTGCTAAATCACATCCATACAGTCATTCATGTAATTTTCAAAATACAATCATACGTAATGAGACAAACATAGATAAAAATTGCTGCAAATAATAACCCCATAACAAACAGCATATGATGTTAGCAAAGAAGTTCTCACTACTCAAGATACAAAAAAGTTAGTTACAAATACCAGGTAAGAGATTGGGCTTTCTTTGTTAATTTGAGGATGCAGAACAGTTGAGAGCAACAGATAAAATGATTGTTTTTGGTATATAGTTAATGAAAGTTAACATGCAAATGAAGGCAGGCAGGAAGGTTTAGTAGCATTGAAGTTCTGTTATAAAGATGGTGGACTCCAGGGAAATCATAAGAGCCTTCCTAAATATAAAAAGGATGCATATTTGTTCTTTTAACAATGAAACAGGAGATACTTTTAATTTCATATGTGAATATTATACAAAAATAGAATTATAGGCTGCACAAATCAAAAATAAAAATAGATCTAGAATTTAAAGTTTGGAGTTATGAACACTGATATATGCAATGATTGAAAATCCAAGAGACTTCAGTCAAAAAGGCACTAAAGGTATGGAAAACAACAAATGGGCAATACTATTTTGAGAACAAGGAATTCATTTTTCAGTATTTTCCTGACTTTTTGCCAGAAATTATGTACTTTTAATCAAATCTCATTTTGTACTAGCACAGTTATATGGAAAATATACATTATTCCCATAAAGGAGAACACTTATCATTCATTTCACATACCACAGATAAAAATATTATAAAACATATTCCACTGTTCTTCAAAACAAGATTACCCAACATTATGAAAATAATGTTAAGTTCTTTACAGAGAAGGATGCACAAAAAGCATCAAAGAGTAACAACCCCATCATCTTCAGAAATGGACGGTCTCTCAGGTGTGTCTTGACACATAGAGGCTGTGTGGTCTCTAATTTCATCTTCCTCGTAATGATCATCATCACTAGGCAGTGACTGATTGGAATGTTGAGACCCATGAGACATTTGTGATGAATGACCAACCGAGCCTCGCCGTGGAAAACCTACGCTTGACTGGTTGGCAGGACGGATAGTAATTATTAAGTTTGAAGAATTAGCTACCATCATATCAGTAACCTGATCGAGAGTCTTTCCTGCAACTTCTATGCCATTTACTTCCAGAACTTCATCATTCACAGCTAACAATCCAGTGCTCTCAGCAAGACCACCTGGAACTAATCGTGATATGAAAATTCCAGGTACCTTCTCAAGACCAAGTTGAGGTGTGACACGTACACTTGTACCATCACGAATATAAAATCCCAGAGGTTTATCAGACCCATGCTTTACGAGTCTCACCCTACGGCAGGTTTCTGGAACAACATCCACATCAATTATGGATGACACCTGACGAAAATCCTCTGGCAGGCTAATGGATATATGTGGACGGTTTTTAGGTACTACAGAAGGTAATAAGTACTGGCCAAGAAACTTTTTCCGTTTCCCAGAACTTCCATAACCATTGAGCTCTTCACAACTTTCTCCTAAATTAAAAACAAATACTGAATTCATGATTTTAAAATAATAAAGAAAGGTGTTTCACAGTTTGGAAATAAAGTCTTATAATACAAAAGCAAAGATTACTTAATTCAGTAACAACAAATATCAGAAATCTTCAACATTTAAGAGTTTCATATGCACACATAAGAATTCTTCATTTAAGCAAATGCTATACATTTTCCACTTAGTAAAAAAAAAAAAAAAAAAAAAAAAAAAAAAAAAAAAAAAAAAAAAATTCATAACATCACAAAAAATATTTCTACTTTAGGAATAACTGTACACATGATAGTATTATAATGCCTATCAAATACAGAGTAATAAAAATTAATGTTACAATACTACTTACTAAAGTACATTCCGAGGTCAAAAACATTTCAACATTTTTTTTCAATAAGAAAAGAAAGAAAATTTTTTTCTATAAGAAAGCATATGAAAATCAATAAAGAATACTGATGTTAAAATTATGCAAAAAGGATTATTTGATTTGTCAAAAAAAAAAAAAAAAAAAAAAAACACATCCCTATACCAGTAGTCTCAAATTGAAATGGCCAAATGCACGATCAGAAAACAGCTGACAGTTCACAGCATTTTTTTAACAAAACAAAAAAATTTCATTTGCCATTTCAATTATTAAATACTTATCAAAACATACATGAGCATAAATAGTAATTACACAAAAATAATTCAAATTTATTTTCTATACAAAGTCTAAAAGTCGATACCTGAAAGAAATTTCTTTTGGTTATACATTAATTCAAACATATTGACAGTTAAATATTGAACTTTAGACTGGTATTTAATTCAGATAATTCTAATATGTTGAATTAATCACTAAATAATTTATTTTTAATCTAAACCAGTACACTAGAATACAAAACTTGTAAGCTGCCAGCTAGCTGTCGCAATGAATTTGCTGACTGTACCAATGTGAGAAATCCTCTCGCTTTACCTTGCCCGTAGCTTGGTTTATAAGCAACAAATAACAAAGATAAAGCCCCAACCTATTCATTCTATCTTTTCCCCTTCAGTAGTAGTCACACACATAAAATTCAATCCATATCTTTATGCCTCAACAACAATAAACACTGATTTGAAACAAGTACATATTAAAAATATTAACCAGCTGTATTAAATTTCTTGGAAGGGGGGGTCACAATGCGGCCCACAAGTTTGAGACCACTGCTCTAGACAACCAATTACTACCCCAAGTTAAGGCATTTGGATGTACAATTAAGAAGATGCAAGCCAATGGAGAAGGTATGATGATTTTATAAAGAACTTTTATGATTCATTATCCAAACAGTGCACTTTTTAATAGCAATCTGGTACCAGAGCATCACTGTAGATCAAGTTCATGCGTTCATACTAAATATGTTCCTTACTGATAATGCCCATTACCAACACAATGTTGCATGATGTCATACTGCAAGGGTTCTCAAAAAATGGTTCCATGGACATGATGGTGAATTTTACTTTACCATAGCCATCAAATTTAGTTGACGTGAACCCAACTGAACATATGAGATTCAAATTGCCAAAATCAATTCAAGCCACATCATCACCATTTCAAAATAATGCTCTAACACCTTCTGTTAAGATCACAGTATTATACAATCTACAATAAATATCATCCCGGTAAAATCCTAGTATACGGTGCAGCCTTGGCGCGATTTTGAAAATTATCGCCAACACCAAAATGACCCGTTTAACTACTCATCATAGATGTCTCGTTTACTGCTCATCATAAAGTCGCCAAATCCCTTGTGCACCGGATACTAGGATTAAAACATCATCCCTTCATTGAGCTGAAGTCTCACAAACTTGCCTTTGTTTCGCAATCTAAAGAAAAATATTATTACCCCATATCTATGGACAATACATATGAAGACTTATCATCGATACATGAAACCACAAATAATAGTGAATAATATATAAAACAGAATATTTATGCAACAAATAAACCTGCAGTACTGTTCTGCTATCAGGACCGGATCCAAAAATGTATATATGTAAGCACTAATGTATGTTTGTGTATACATATATGCACACACATGCATACAACATGAGCATGCATTTATACATTTCTGATTCGGGTCCTAATAACAGAACAGTACCAAACAGCACTCAAATGTAAGTCATAAATTATGCAAGTGAGACATTATTAACATTCAATAAATTAATATAAAAGTATTCTATGCATTTGAAATGCATTATATATAGTATTATTATATAAAATAACATCAAGTATATCGTATATTACAGTATACGCTCTCTCATACTTATAAAAGTAACAAATTCAGACATTTTACCTTGATCCATAGAAGACATGTGAAAAATGAAGAAGTGCAGTTCTTGCACTGTATAGCATAACATTCTCCTTCAAACAGCATGCTAGTAAATTTCAAATACTTGTAACATCAGATGACTTCTGAATTAGTACTTGTAACATCATTAATCTTACATTTTAGGTCCCTTATTGTGGTAAACAAGAATTGCTAAGAGATCTGTGGTAATATGTTACTACTGTAGGATAAATGCAAAAAGCAAATGCTGAAGAAAGTTTAAAAAGAAATCCAGAAACGGAAACTCCAATACTTTGTGACCACTGAAACCAAAATTCCCTTCTGAAATATTTGTGACCAATAGGCTGATATGTGAGGTCAGAATCTAGATTACATATACTGTTCCAAAAGAACATTATTTCAAGGGACAGTAATTCTATTATGCTGCTACCTCCTAAAATCGTTTATAATAGAAATTGAAATAAATTTCGTTCAGCAATCTGAGCAAAATATTATATTTCTCCCTTAAAGACAGAACCACCTGCCACTCCTTCTCTTCAAAGAAACATATTTCTTCAGTAGCAGATTCCTTTGGTTTCTCTTTTTTTCTTAACCTTCTGGCTGATCATCCCGCGATTTCCATGGGCAACTCAAATGTAGCAAAATTTGCTCATCCCGCAGACATATGTTTTTCTTCCTTTATTGAGGAGCACATCCCATCCCCCCCCCCGTTTAACCATTGAAATAAATTATATACAGTATTAGGCGTTTAGTTTACGTTTTAGCTAACAGCTATTGTAAGTAGTCCACTAAATTGTGGCATTTGAAGGCAGGTGGTATTAGCGCTCAAACTTCACTTTTTGCTGTTTTTTCTTATAGAAATGGCTGCTAGAAAACATTTAGCGATTATCTTGATTACTTAATTAAATTATTGAATTATTAATTAGATTAATAATTAGATTGATTATTAATTAGATTTATTGAATCTGGTACAAAGACTGTGAAGTTGGACTTTGCCTGGAACCCTGTTTTGAACTCGATCATACTAAACTGCATTTCTAAAGTATTTTTCCCTCAGCGTTTATATTTTCTTTAATTTTATACATTTTACTTTTTTATATTATGCAATAAATAGAAATTAACTGTAATTCGACTGTAATTTATTTTTAAAATAAGATTTTTTTTGGTGATAACATCTGAAATTGGTTTTCTGGCACTAGTAGTTTCAATACTTAGTTCTCATGATAAAAATCTATATAAAAATAACTTTCTAGAAAAGAAAAAGTGCATTTTTCAATTCTCCAATATATATAGATTTAAAATGTGAAAAAATAATAAATAAATAAATAAATAAAAACCATGCAATTTTGGTCCACAAATTGAGCAGTCAGAGAGTTAATAATAATTGTTTTTATAACCATAACTCTCAAGACCACATTTTTCATCTAATCAGCTTTTTCCCACTTCCTTTCTTTTTATTTGCAATGGATTTTACAACTTTGATTTACCAAGAGATGAATTATTATCTTGTGTCTTTAAGAAAAATATTTATTCTTCACAAAGAAAGATTGTTAGAATAATCACCTTATAAAATTAAAATACAATGTGAAGCCAAAACAGCTATGCAGCCACTTTTCATACTAGGAAAAAAAAAGATATCCCAATGCACACACAATAGTTGGAAATTGTACTCTTTTTGTTACTGCTACACAGTTCATTTACTTCACAGGCTATAAGCAGATAAGTCTATTGAGTTTTACAAACTAAAATTTGCTTCAAAGGCTATTCAAATGGTTGAATGGAATAATCATAGAACAATGTATGCACCAACTCTTTGTTAGCTCAAATTACAATGAATCAATACAAAAGAACTGTGGAAATTGATGAAAATAAATTTACAAGAAGAAAATGACATAGGTTGGGTCTTCTCCCACAACAGGTTTGAAAATTTTCATGAAATTAGAGAATGCTTCTTGTTGCTGCTACTGATTGTTACTATTTATCTAGTATCGAGACAAAGAGAAGGGGAAAAAAGCCAATGTGCCAATATGGTGCTGAAAATGTACGATATAGTTTCTAACGGAAAAGTACAAAAACCACAAATGTGATTAAACGTGATAATTTGCATAGATGTCTGAAGCCTAAATATTGCATATAAAAATTTGCAATAAATAAGAGTAGTATAACTTCCAGAACATATGAAAGATTCACAAACATTTCTAAAATCATGGAAAAAATTCTCACCTTTTTTCTGTATTATTAGCCTAAGAAGTGGCCATGCAGAATTAATTGCTCTTGCTAAATTGTCATCATTGTTGATAGGCAGTAAATCACCATGTATAGGATCTGTGTAACAAATCGTGAAAGGAATTTCATGCAGCTTATGAAATTTTTCAATTAAATTATAAAACTCTTCAAATGTTGTTAATTCACTTCTGTCCAATGAAAATCGGCGAAACTCTGCATCAAGCTGAAAAGGAAAAGTTTTTTTTTTTTTTTTTTAATTATGATCAATGCACTTAAAGGTAAATAAACACAGAATAAAGTGACAAGGAAAGGTTAAAAAAGATTCACAGTACACAGTTAACAGCAATTCAAATCAAAGTGGATCAATCATGGATATGGATTTAACTCTATGGATACCTGCAATTTTCACCAAAACAGAGCACAGAAATAAAAAAATTCATTCAATTTGTAAGAAACTTGTGTGTTTGCTTGAAAGAAAACTAATGCCAAATCAAGCTTGAGTTTGCTAGCCGGTTTATTTCCTGTATCTTAATTATACAGTCAAAAATCTTTAATCCGGACTCGTCGAGACTTTCATGATTCTGGATTATAGATCATCAATTTAAATCTGGTAAGATGGCATGCAGAAATTACAAAATTAAAAATATGAAAAAATAATTTACAAAATAAAGAGCAATTATGATCTAAAGGATATCAAAATTTACAAAAAAAAAAAAAAAAGCTTAATATTTATTTGTTTACTTTATTAAACATTTCTTTCAATGCGCGCATGCATTACGCATAGTCGAAATTAGAAAATTGCAACCAGAAAATTATTTGACGTGTATTCGTGATATTTATAATGACGAGGAATTTGATTTAAATCATATCAAAGACAGAGTACATTGAGATGAAATACTACATTTAGTAAGGAATTATAAGCAGAATAAAATAAAAACATCCGCCCTGAAGAACCGGATAGTGCTGACAGATCAACTTCCAGTTCATTGCGTGCCGCGACATTCCATATCAGAAGCAAGATCTTTTTTTAATATAATAAATTTAATAGTTGCTGCTGGACAAACATTTCTACATGGGGGTTCATGGGATGAGAGCTCCTAGCATGCTTTCCCTCCATAGACTGATATTTATTTTCTAAAATCTTGTACAAAAGCCATAACTTGTTGACTGTTGAATATGCACTTACTGTAAATGCTGACATATCTCTTTCATATACACAGTGAACAGACCATTGTCATCGTCAGGTCCTTGTGAATAGTATACGCTAGACAGACTTGTTGTGTCTCCAGTCTTTTGAAAGTGATTTGTTGGCTATTGTACAGCCAGGCATATGTTAAAAAAAGTATTAGATGCATGTAAAATTGGTGATTTCATTGTTAGATATTGATTTTAGTCTGGTAACTTTATCTTCTTCATTGTTAGGTAATGAATTTAATCTGGTAATCTTATTTATTTATTTTATAACTCAAATCAACAGGATTGCAGGATATTTCTCTGTTATGCACTATTTGCTTTTGAATACTATTCATTTTTAAAACTAAGTAATTAAAAAAAAGAATATATTTTACTTTGATTACATTGAAGTGCTCCTTGAAGAGTTCGTGTTAAAATCTTTCATTATACCGAAGTTTCAATTATACTTCAATGATTGTGATCACAGCTGAAAAGTACAATTTAGGCTTTTTTTTTTTTTTTTCAATTTGGAACAAAAAGAGAAAATGTCCATTTTCTCTTTTTGGTGTATGGGTATGGATTTGATTATGAATAAAGTTGATAAATTTTTTTTCTTTTTTTTTTTTGTATGTGCAATGAAGAGACCCAGCTGCTATATTGCCGGTGCACAGTGACGAGTGTGCAGTTCTCCGATGTGAAACATATTTAAAGACCCATAAAAATGAGTCATATTAAAGATATTTGATATTTATCATGAGCAATAAGAGCTATTTCACATTTACTTGAAGTACAGTACTAACATATATCCATTAATATGTTCCAAGACTTACCATGGAATAATGGCACACATTATATATTCTTGTTATATATGTAATTAAGCTTGATAACTTATGCAAATATGACATTACAAACAACCAAATGAAGAAATAACAAAATAATTTCTACTACAATGCCTCATATATTGTACTACTAAAAAAGTGATGTGAAATATATTCTGCATTAAAGTATATTCTCTCTTGCATTTATGTAAATAAAAAATTCTTGATACTTTAACTTAATCTGTAGTAAAAGATGAGGAAGAAATGTAGTTCTTATATTACATTTCTCACTTGCCTTTGTGGTTTAAGTTACCCCTTACTTACTTGGAAATTAGATAATGCTATATTTTTGTTCTAAAATTTAGCAGGATTTTATATAAATGGATATATCTTAACAAAATTACAGAATGACAGTAAGTTTAATTATCATACTTTATAGAATAAACATATTTAAATACATCTATACCACAGTAAAATGTTACATTTTGTTAGGCAACTTGCCTTGAATTCTAATAAAAATCATTGCTACTCTCATCAAATATTCACCTGTATTTCTTAATATATATCCTAAATTTATGAAAGGTATATATTATGTTATGATAAAAATAAGAACTTAAGTTTTTTCTTGCATTAATGAAACACTAATAGTTTCTAAACATTTGTGACATTACTAATCTTAGATTTCGGTGCCCTTTTTGTAGTAAATCAGATCGGGAAAATCAGGATTTTATGATCAGGAAAGGTGCGATCACATATTAACGAAAAGAGGCTTAATGGTAAGAAGCAGATTTAAAAAGAGACATGGAAACAAAAATTACAGTTCAGTCACAGCCCTAATTTTTTTTTACATTTTGAAACTTAAGAAAAATTCTTTTCCCCTTACTTTAAAAAATGGATAAGAGAGTATAGCGCTATTATATTTTTGGTATTTTTTTAAATCTGCTTCATACAGAAGAGGCATAATAAAGTATTGACGATGCAATGCAACACCAGGAAAAAGTATTTATGGGACAACCCACGAGAATCCTTCTAATTTTAGGATTCTGGTGCTAAGTTTGTGCATACCGCCAAGTCAGTGAAATTCTTTTTTTCTTGCTAACAATATTTGATGGACACATAAGGAGAATGAATAAGTTCATAGCACTGCTACTGTGATAAATGATATGAATTTTATAATGTCGAATACTAACTTATAATTGTGTACCTAAAACATTCACTGCAATTTAAATAAATGAGTATATCAAAATAAATAATTCTTTTGAACGCAGCGAAATAAAAAATTCATGCAGTTATACTGTTTTTATATATGTAAAAGTTATGCATCATTTTCTTTATTTAATATGAAAGCGGAGCTTTCCTTTATAAAACTGTTGACATGAAAATATATGCATGGGTAGACCATTTAATCCGGTATTACAAACGTTAAAATACGAAGCAGATACGATCTTACCCTTCAAAAATAATAATTTTGTTATGAATTTTAAAGTGCATTATTAATACAATGCACATATCCTTCACTATGGTATGCTTGGCAAACATTCCCCCACTTCCCGGAAAGGATGACAGGTGTCAACACACACTGAGCATGAAAAATTTAAGTCTAAGATAATACAATTCACTAGTTACAGTATGAAACTTTTTGTTGCTTAGTAAAATTTAAAATTATTAGTAACTTGGTAAATTAAGAGATAGATTACTTTAATAAGTTGTGACAGATTACTTAAATAATTTATGATATACACACCTTGCTTTTAACAGATACATAATTTGACACAGCGCGATTTGTAGCTTTGGGAGTTTTCAGCATTATTATATGATTTGCTATACTAAGAAATTCATCAAAATTTTATGGGATAACACAAGAAGAAAACAAATAACATAAAAAGAAACACATTAAAGCCTTAATTTACTCCATGACCACCGTCTCAGCCGCAACTCCTTTCAACATTTATGACGTCATCAGGTTAAAATCCAGTCAACCGTAAATCGCAGAATGAGTAATAAAATCAATATCAACCACACCCTACTAAATATCAATCGTAATTTAAAAATATTCTTAATAAATATTTTATATGTTGCAAAATAATAGTAATGAAAGCATAATTTCAAGGCGTCATAAACTTTTATTTAATTAGGTCTTAGGTTTTTAAAGAAATTTTTCTGATGTCAGTTCAAAAGTAACTTAGTAAAGTAGTAGAAGTAACTTAGTAAAAGAAAATGATCACCTCGATGAAATTCAATTAAATTTTCTTACAATAATATGATTCGAATAGCCTAATATACTACTAGTAAACAGATCCTAGGATAGATGTATTTTTAGATTTTTAATATTTGGCGAGTGCATCGTTCTCAGAAGACTTTAGAGAAGCTTCGTTATCACACCTAGCGACGCGCAGCACTAGAAACTTTTCCATGAAAAGAAACTTTTTTCCCTCCGTCTCTGACCCTCAGAGCGTTCTTAGTCGAAATAGCATCTCTGGAATCGATGTTTCAGTTAGCCCGGACATTTTGCAACTGAATTGAAAATGTCCTTCATCTGTTTTGGAATTGGAAATGCCCTTCATTTGTTGCTTCATTAGCTTTGTCCTTCATTGGTTTTGCTCCCAAAAATTCATTTTCGCGTATGTCAACCAGTCAGATACCCGATTGCCAACATTTGGGAAATGGTTCTTTCAGTACGCTTTAGTAATTAGTAGATGAGGTATCTGTTTTATGCTTCCTTCAAAATTTTCATCAGAAGATATAAAGATGCATCCTCTTTCCAATCTATATATATTATTAAATAATCTTAATTAATTACGTGAACAAAAGTCACAAAAATCTCATGAATTTAGTACTGTGCTAGACGGGCATGTAGCACAGAGTCATGTCTCTCTTTCTCCCTTACTTTTTTCTTTGACGCAAAAGCAACGTGTATGTTCAAAAAAAGTTTTTTTTTTTTTTTTTTTTTTTTTTTTTTTTTTTTTAGAAATGCACAGCGAGTTATAATTCCAACTAATGACCTCCAAGTTTACAAGAACTCACCGCTCACTTTATGTCTTAGCGAAATTGCCTTTTCACTCATGGTGCAAAGTTCTTTAAAAACCATACTCTATATTTCACACCAAAAATGTTATGAAATAGTTGTGCATAATATTATGTATCTGTAGTAACATACATCATATTATTATATGTAGGCGTATAATTCTAAATTAATTATACTAGTCAACATAATTTATATATTGATAGCATCAGACTTTTAAAATTATTTATTACTATCTGCTTGCTAACGATTATATAATTACGCACAGTGGTACCTCGACATACGTGTTTAATTCGTTTCGTAACTTTGCTCGTATGTCAAATTGCTCGTATCTCAAAGCAATTTTCCACATTGAAATTAATCGAAATCCCATTAATCCGTTCCAGATCCCAAAACACGACCTCAGTTGTTTGTTAAGTGTTTTTAAGTAAGAATCAAAAACAAGAAGAAACATTTATTTATAAATAACAAATACATATTCTATAAAAACATAATTAAAAGAAAAAGTGAAGTGCCTACGGAAGAGCTTAATTTTTGTCACTGGTCTTCGCTTTTTTCGTCATGATCTGCTTATTTCCACCCGCAGATCATTTAAAAAAACTTTCCAAGGAGGTTTGTTTCTTCTTCCGTGTCAAGGATGCACGGCTAGTTGCAACGTTTTCGCGGTGATTTTTATCCACGAACTCTACAACTTTCTCCCACATTCCCAAGACCTGTTTTATATCTCTTGTAGCGATAACCTCCTCCACCTCTGGCTCCTCTTCAAAACTAATTTTTCGTTAACCCAACGTATGCTGCTGCAAATACAGATCGTGTAACTCCTCGGTTGTCAGCTCCTGAGACTGTTGTTCGACGAGTTCGTTCACATCTCTCCCATCCACCTCCAGACTCATGGATTTTCCCAGAGAAACAAGCTCCTCTACCTATGCGACTTTGGGTTCCAATCCTTCGAAGGCCCTTTCAGCAACAGCCTCAGACCACAGCTTCTTCCGTGCAGAGGTTAAGGTCCTCGTTGTAACACCCAGCCAGGCCTGATCAATAATTCCTAGGCATATGACGATCTTAAAGTGGCCTTTCCAGAACTCTCGAAGGGTAAGGTTTGTGTTCTCCGTCACCTCAAAGCAGCCCCAAAAAATGTGCTTGGTGTACAATTTCTTAAAATTAGAAATCACCTGCTGATCCATCGTCTGCAGGATAGGAGTGGTGTTGGGTGGTAGGTAGGGAACTTTTATATACTTGAACTATTAGAGTAAATCAACTTCGTGATTTGGTGGGTGAGTAGGGGCATTGTCGAGGAAGAGAAGGGCTTGCATGGGTAGGTTGTTTTTCTGTGGGTATTTTTTAACAGAAGGGCCAAACACCAGGTTTATCCACTTCACAAAGAATTTCCTGGTGACCCAAGCCTTCGGATTTGTCATCCACATACCTGGCAGATTTTCTTTTGAAATATTATATGACTTAAAGACTCTGGGATTTTCCGAATGGTATACTAGCAGAGGCTTGATTTTACAGTCGCCAATCTCATTGGCGCAAATTACTAGAGTTAATCTATCCTTCATGGGTTTGTGACCTGGCATCGTCTTCTGCTCTGCCGTTATGTAAGTTCTATTCGCCATCCTTTTCTAGAAAAATACTGTATCGTCACAGTTAAAGACTTGCTGGGGGGATGTATGCTTTGGCTAGTATCAGTTCGGAAAACATTTTGATGTGAACCTCAGCTGCCTTCACATCGGAACTTGCTGCCTCACCATGTCTGAGGACGGAGTGAATGCCGGTCCTTTTCCTAAAGATGTCAAGCCAGCCCTACTGGATTTAAACAAGTCTTCCGATTCCTCATTTTTAGAAGTGTGTGGGATCTTCTTTAGCAAATAACCGTAAATTGCTCGTGCCTTCTCACATATGATGCTTTATGTTAAGGTTCCTCCTTGAAGCTGCTCCTCTCTCACCCACCCCATCAGTAGTTTCTCCATCTATTCACGGAGAGAGGTCCAGAGTTTAGACATTATTTTATCGGCCTTAGATGGCGTTATACCCTTTATCAACTCCTTTTTTTTAAGCACAGTACATGTCATTGATGTGCTACGACCGTACATCATCGCCAAGTCAATTACTCGCACACCTTGCTCATGGTTTTCTATGATTTCACGCTGTAATTGAATAGACATCATCTTATTCTTTGTACCCATAGTTATAAAAATAAATATGATAATGTTTTCTAAATGTACAAAAAGCAAAAAGCGCCAACCCAGCTTATCAAATGTGCTTCCAAAACGAGGGAAACAAGCACACAGACTGAGATCTTGTCTGAGGTGGGAGAAACTGTTAGACGCTGCATCTAAATATAAATAACCATCGTCTTCACTGCCGAAACCCTCTAAACTATTCTATAAATCACTATCATATCAGCTATAAAATCGTCATTAGCCAAATCTATATCATCATCAAAATCATCTAAATATTCCTCACCACACAAAACACATCATGATTTTAAACCATCGTATCTCTATCACCATCGTCAGAATAAAATAAACCACCATCACACAAATCACATCATCATTCCATACTAATCAATCGAAACTATATATCATATACACCATCATCATTGAAGTCGTCAAATAATAAAATCACCTGAATACAAAGTACTATCACCTAAAGTTTTATTACCATCATACTCATTTAATCACATTCTTCATCACTATAACATATAATCACGATAACTTAAATAAAAAATCATCAGCAGTTAGTATAAATCCTCATCCTTAAAATACCAGCTAAATTATTTAAATCATCATCATTTAAATCAAGATTTTTTTGGTGTTTCGCTAGTATAACATCAAAACGAACCAGTTTCATTTAGGTACAGACATGTACAGGTAAAAGTGTTGGAGCTTCATTAAAGATTGCACAGGTATACATCCCAATAACTAACCGAATACAGCACGGAGGGAAGGCCAGAAGAGGAAGAATCCTACTGGTAGTTCTTTAAAGAGAGATTTAGAAGTTAGTTTTTAAGTGAAGAGGACAAAAAGGGAGAACGGGTTATAGAAGAAATGAAGAAATCTAGAAAAAGGTTCATTAGAAAGTAGTAATAATATTGTAGTGGCTAAATCAATTATTAGCCCACCGGATGAGTCCAGATCTCGAAACTTTGTGCTGCTGGGAAAGGAGGGAAATCTAATAAAACAAGTTTTATATCAAGCTTGTACAGAATACCAGCAGCTTAGCTGCCAGCCTTCGTCTGGCTTTTAAATGTACCGGGAAAATGGCTGAAAGAAACACCAATTTTTAAACTTGAAAACAGCGTAGAATTTTACTCTGCAGAACGACTTCATAAAAAAAAAGTTATTACGTATAACAAAATTACCATGAAATAAGCAATATCCCTTAATACAAATATTAATGATCTTAATAAATAAATTAACCAACTTCCCTTTGCAAAATCTTAAGAACTCAAATGGTATAAAGGAGGTTAAGAACTTTGTTTCCTAAAAAAATCACTCAAAACTTTTCAGTATCTTAAAATCAGTGAAATGAGCAACAAAGAACACAAAAGAATACAAAAAACAAAAAAATTCTGGAAAGCAAAGTATAATTAATGATAATGCAAAGTATAATTAATGATATCCCTTGTAATGTTGCGCGCTTCCAACCTGCACGCAACAATAGTGGTGACTGCTAACAACTGGAAAGTAGACAAATTCTTGAGAAGGGTTTAAATCCCTTTTTATTCAACTTTAGAAATTACAAATGCGTGCTCTTGACGCTCGCAAACTACGCCGACCCGGCGGTAAAATAAAAATAAAAAACTAAAAAAAGAATAATAACATGTGACTAACTACGAGGCTCTCTATACGTAACTAACCTCACCGCGTTCTAAGATACCGCTGATAATTCAGCAAACTTCTGAATATTACGTTGAAAAATTAACAACAA